GCGCGTCTTTGATTTCATTGGTTCTACCGGCGGAGAACAATCAGCCATTATTTCCATCTCTGTCTGTGCTGTTGACCACCGCAAAGCCACAGAAACGACATATGTCGTACGCTATACGGCTGTACTGGAAGGAAGCCGGGATCGAGCTCTGATCACGTGTTGATCACGCGTATGAGTCATTACAGTTTTAAATAGTTGTAGTATAGAGCAAAATAAAACGAATGTCTCGCTAGACTGTCGTAGGTTAAGTTGCGCTGTTGCCGGCTTGACGCTGACGGTGGAGATTCTGCTACTTCCCAAGAAAGCTGATTACGAAATCGTCGATGAGCTCGCGTATAAAACCATGCCTAATATAACCTTCCTCGGGTAAGTATACAAATTTTCACGTTTTTCCGTATTGTAGTTTAGACGTGATGCTGACAGACTAGACAGACATTCACATTTATACAGGATGGCCCATCCATGTGTGGACGGAATATTACTTATAAACAAATACATTTTGGGAAAATCTATTTATGGCATGTTATACATGACATTCGAGGGCACATTTCTAAAATATTGGCAATTATACAGGGTGTCTCAATTTGACCTACATATCAAAGTTGTGATTTTTCAAATGGAATGCCTCCAATTTTATTGCATATTTGGGTAAACCAATTCAAAAGAAGAATATTGATATAACATACTATATTGTTTTGGCAACTTGCTACTGAGATGTAAGGTGTTTCGTTCAGAAAAACCGTCCACTTCGGCAACCCCTCAATCCGCCATTTTGAAATTTGGAGTGCCGAATTTTCTCAGCTTTTATCTTATTTGTTACTTTTTCGAATTTTAATTTTTGCTCATACAGGGTGTCAAAAAAGCAAATTGTAGTTTTTCTCAACAATTTCAAATGCATCACCCTGTATATTTGTGCAAGTTTGGATACAATTTTGTATAACCTTTTTCTGATACTAGACACAAGGGTTGTTACGGCTATTTTTTCGGTTATTAGCACGTCTTTTATGGAACGGCTTAATTCCCTAAAATATCGCATCATCCTTGGAAAGAAATAAATTGTTGATTAGTTACAAACTGTCAAAATTAGCTTTGTTAGCATTATAATAAAAACGTGTTTGAAAATGAATTTTTCTATATAAGAAATGGTGAATATGGTGTTCGTTTTGGGCGAAGCCCAAAGAAATAGTTTCTTAGCATCTCGCATTTATAAGCAACGGTACCCTAATATGCGACATCCAAGGCCAGAAACATTTTCCACACTACGAGAACGTTTTGAATCAAGTGGAGCAGTGGGATATAGTAAAACATGTATAAATCATCCAAGTGTCACCAATGAGACTAATCACTTGGAGGCACTATTAAAGTTGCAGGAAAATCCCCATTTAAGTGCACGGCAAGTTGGAGCAGAAACTGATATATGCAGAACTTCTGGCCAAAGGACCAACTATACATAGATACCATCCATATCACCAATGACCTTCGTCCTCAGGATTTCGCAGCTCGAATGGAGTTTAGTAGAATAATGCTAAATAAAGTGAGTGAAGGCACTACTTTCGCTTATGAAAAATTGAATCCAAACTTGCACAAATGTACAGGGTGATGCTTTTGAAATTTTTGAGAAAAAGTACAATTCGCGTTTTTCACCACTCTGTACGAGCAAAAATGAAAATTCGAAAAAGTAACAAGATAAAAGCTGAGATGTGTAAGTTTTTTTTGATATAAAATTCAGTACTCGAAATTTCAAAAAACAAATTAATATTCTGTTTTTTTGTGTTTATTTGGAGTTAGGAATTATTGCTGTGTTTAAAAACACAATCTAAACGATCATCTTAATTACTTGTAATGCCCAAATCGAAAATGTAAAAAAAAATATTATTTTCCCATAAATAATTAAAAATGCACCGAACCTTAAAAATCGAAATATCTCAAAAACGGCTAACTATAACGAAAATTCACAAAAGAGCTTTTTTATGTTGAAAAGTGCGAAGAATCAGTTTTTTTATTCAAAAAGCAAAAACTTGCACTAAGAAAAAATTTTCGGTTATTTTAAATACACTACAGGTACAGTATAGAGCGCCTTCTAGTGGCTATAGTAAAACTATGCCCATGGTTCGTTTTGTCGTACCAGAAAACCCTTGTATACCAATTTTCACTGTTATACATCAAATATTGTTAGAAATATTTAAAAAAAACTATTTTAAAAAGTAAATTTAAACACCCTGTATTTCGGAAGCCACGCAGTTTTCGACCCATGTTTATATAGACTTTATTCATTAATTTTAAAAGTTCTATCGAATTTTAAAGTTATGCAACAATAAACTGAAACACCATGTATAGCATATGAATTTGTTTACTTGCCCAGCATCAAGTGTTTTTTATCGATAAGAATAGCGACTGCAATGACATCAGGTAAACCCATCGTTCTTCGAAAAGATTACGATTTATATATTTTGTATATTATGCGATTGATAAGAGTTTTGCACATCCTCGATAATAACGAAGGAATTCTCAATCCTTGGGTGCAAAGGCAGCATGTTAGTAGTTTTGCATTCACATTAGTGGAGTTTTGTAGGTAATTCAAAAAATAAAATAATAAGACTGACTCAGTACGTTTCACGCCATACGTCACGCAATTCTTGAATCACTCTATATAGGGTGGCCCATCCATGTGTGGACGGAATATTACTAATAAGCAAATACATTTTGGGAAAATCTATTTATTAGTCAAAGTCACGAAAGATGACTCTTACTTCATACCATAAATTGTACTGGAGTAATCAAGGGACGTACGTCGATTATAAAATCACGATGTCAGGAACATAATAACAACAAACTTATATTATGATTTTGCGAAGTTAGGTTATTTCACAGATTATTCTTATTTTCATTTCATTTCATGGTTTTGAGTGAAACCTTAATAATACTTTTAGTGGGGAGTTTTTGTTTTGAAAAAAAACTACAGTTAAGATAGAATACCTCAAGACAGGAACACTAAAGACCAAAGTATTATTCGAAAACAACCTAACCTGATTTAACATAACCTAACTATTCATCTTTCAAATATGATCGATCATGCAACATGAAAACATCGTCTATCTTTGTCGGATACATGCAAATTGCCAATACAGTTTGTTTAGACAATAAAATTATGTTTTTCTCTGTCTAACATATCTAAAACTTCATTAAAAATATTCACAAATCGCTGTCGCTGTTTGTCTTTACTACAGACTAAAATGATGACGTAATCGTCATCTTTCGTGATTTTAACTATACGGTATGTTATACATGACATTTGAGGGCACATTTCTAAAATATTGGCCATTATACAGCGTGTCCCAATTTCGACATACATATCAAAGTTGTGATTTTTCAAATGGAATGCCTCAAATTTTATTGCATATTTGGATAAACCAATTCAAGAGAAGAATATTGATATAACATGCTATAGGGTTTTGGCAATCAGCTACTGAGATGTAAGGTGTTTTGTCCAGAAAAACTTTTATCTTATTTTTTACTTTTTCGAATTTTAATTTTTGCTCATACAGGTGTCAAAAACGCAAATTGTAGTTTTTCTCAAAAATTTCAAAACCATGACCCTGTATATTTGTGCAAGTTTGGATTCAATTTTGTATAAGCTTTTTCTGATACTAGACACAAGGGTTGTTACGTTTATTTTTGCAGACGTAACAGCGATGAAGCAAATCGCAACAATCATCAATATTTCTATTGTTCGGGTCATGTTGGAAATATGATTGTACCAATTTACGAATTTTGATCTTTATCATTTATACAGGGTGTTTCAGTTTATTGTTGCATAACTTTAAGATTCGATAGAACTTTTAAAATTAATGCATAAAGTCTATATAAACATGGGTCGAAAAATGCGCAGCTTCCGAAATACAGGGTGTTTAAATTTACTTTCTAAAATAGTTTTTTTTAAATATTTCGAACAATATTTGATGCATAACAGTGAAAATTGGTATACAAGGGTTTTTTGGTACGACAAAACGAACCATGGGCATAGTAAGAGTTTTCTTTCGTGACTTTGACTATAAATAAATTATCCCAAAATGTATTTGCTTATTAGTAATATTCCGTCCACACATGGATGGGCCACCCTGTATAGAGTGATTCAAGAATTGCGTGACGTATGACGTGAAAAATACTGAGTCAGTCTTACTATTTTTTTTTTGAATTATCTACAAAACTCCACTAATTTCCAATAGTCTGGGGTGTCTGACGATCCAGTCCTAAGCGGCACTTCGGGAGGACGTACACGGGGCCTAAGTGCTGTGATCTTGGTTGATTGTTCTTCCTCCTATACAGAATACAGAACCTGGAACCTGCAGTCGACACATCAGTGTCTGCTTCTCTAAATCTCTCAGTAGGGTAATTTTCCTGTCCTTGATAAAACTTTGGTGAGATAAAATGGCAAAAGGTGAGTCTTCTGACATAAAATGCTTAGGGCTCGCAAATAAAAAATTACAAGAGCAACAAACAAAATGGTAGTAATTTTTAGTTTGAAACATCTGTGACACAAGTAATTTAGTTATAGCTGTTTCCGATTTTTTGTTCATATGAAGCCCACGATAGGTCATTTCGCTTTTTTTTTGGTTTTTTGTGTGACTAACATTAGGACATGTAGAAAGTGGTTCAGTTACGTTTTCCTGAATCTGCGCCCTTAGTTGAGAATTAGTTCTGATCCAGCTTTGACTCGAGGGGGAGGACTTAATCACAGTTGCGGATTTAGAAGGCTGGGAGGAAAGGTATCGGCGAATGAAAATTGGCTCGGCTGCATCAGTGCTTCTAAGAGCTGATGACTTTCTAATAACTGAAGAATCGGTAGAGGGTCCGCCCTTGATTGAGAATATTGCAGGCTCTGGAATAGCCCTGTCGGTAGATTGTTTATGATATGATGCTTATCAGGGAACTACTCGGAGAACTCACATCAAAATAAAAATAAATCACGAATTGTCTTATTACTTTAAAACAATCCGTGCCTTCATCATACATGTATATTTCGTACTTCTGGACGTCTACGATAGGTCAATCCATATCGTCTATTTTGTTTATGTTTGCTTTTATTGTACATACTCCGATAATGTATAGCCTCTAACTACGATAGAGCCTTTATAATTTAGCCACAAAATGCACGCTTTCAAGAGAATTAGTGGATAGAATCATACAATTTTGGTTATCTTAACCAGTAATAGTCATGATTGAGTAAACATAATTTCTTCATGGAGGAAACTAAAATACTATATAATTACATTTTATTTATTTATCTCTTATAATGACCAAATATTTGAATATTGTACTCTAAACCGTGATATTTGGCTGATTTCATGTGCAAGCTGACGAAGTTGTGACCTACTCCGCCTCTCAAGATCTCAACCGTTGATCCCATAGCTTGGAACTTCTGGCTTATAGCCATTATACAGTAGATGGTCTTATCACCAAACCATTCAACCTAGAATGAATCAATTTGTTTAGATAAAATTAGTTTGTTGGAAATAATTGAACTAGATTCTTTGGCGAAACAGTGTGACAATTATACGACTGATTACTAAAATAATATATTTTTGTTGAGAAACCGACCGTATAATAAAAAAATTGCTTAAATAACATAGTTACAACTACATTTTTACAGTTTTCGTCCGAACCTCAGTTTGAAACTTCCAGCATTGGCTTACTCTCACTTCAAATAACGTCATGCTCGTTAAATTGTTCAATAAACTGCCTGACCATACAAAAGAGTATGTATAAAAGTTGTAAAAAAGATAATTTCAGAAAACCCTTTGTATTAAGTACTTTAATCACGATTTTTAAATGTGCTTTGAGTGTTATAGTTTTTAACTTCTGTGTAATGTTATCTTGCTTGTTTTATATACTGTGCGCCTATTTTATTTATATCTACGACCTATATATAACCGCAACCCGACACAGCACTTGTGTTCAAATACAAGCATTCTCTCCAAAAGGACGACAACCTGACCAGTTTCTCAATGATTGATGGTGGAACTGCCAACGCCAGTCGGTTTGGAAATGGTGAAAGTCGATACATGCCATTGTGACATTTTAGCTAACGTTCCGATCGTACCTTCAAAAAACATTTACAGTAGGATAAAGTACTTCCCCATCGCATGTTTGTGTTCTTTGAAGTGACTCAGTTGGAACAGCCGTGTTGGACACCTTCTAGGGGACTATATAGTTTATACAAGAAGTATGGCAATTAAGACATGAAATATGTTTTCGTACAAGGTGTTAGTTATCGAAATAAGAGAGAGCAAAGCGCCATCTACTACCAGAATCGACTACTGCGAGCAGCTATCGGTTGGAATTTTGAAAATCTCATTTCGCGTTTGATAGGCCAGTTACCACTGTGATATGTTTTCGTTCGTTGTTCTAAAGACCAAGCCTAGACTTTGCTGATGAGTTGCAAAAAGCACGAAACAGCTGTCTGTGGTTGGCTGTTGTCGGACGGACGAAAGCAGCAAGTTTAATTAAGGTTTCTGTATATCGTCCCTTGCACATTATATTTGTCATACATGTGGCGTTTGTGTAGCCAATATTACTATAACCAACCGGTTTGTTTCACTAACTATGTTAACACCTTCAGGGGCAGATTTAAACTGTTTGAAAATGTATTAGTTTATTCAATGGCAAGTAGACCACCTCTACTATACAGCCACAATCGTCAGCTAACTAGCTGTCTTATGGTGACTGGTATGTTAAACGTGAACTGAGATCTTTACAGTACCAACAAATAGCAGCTATGCGCTCTCGCAGTGGCCGATTCTGGTGAAAGGTGGCGCTTTGCCCTGTCTTATTTCCCCTTCTACTTCTATCCCTACTGAGCGAGTAAAAAAATGCTGGTTTCGGAATAAAGCAATAATGCTGCTGAACGATGCGCCTGCCAAACAGACCGACCTAGCTCGGTCTCCCATCCTTAAAGTGTCGAACTTCGTACTTCCAGAACTGGGCGATATAACTGCTTCTTTGTCCCTAGGATTTTCTGTCAAGGTTATATAATGATATATTACTTATATTCCGCGTTCTTACTGGTAAAGTACATAGTGACGTTTTCCATGACCTCAAAACAAGGCTGCTAGTTGTTGCTTTTGGTAAGACCAGGGCTCACTGTAGCAAACCCAGGGTAGTCTCGGTAACTTGAGTTTCGAGACAGGACTTTCTAGATTTGAAGTTTAGTTATTTAACACACAAGTTACTGCTGCACTACGTGCAGAAGGTGAAAAAATAAAATATCCTACAAGTTTTTATCAGTCCTCTCAATTTTCGGCTATATTAAAAAAAACTGTAATGGCCTCTAAAACATTGAACTATTAAAACTTACCGTAGCGTCTCTTGCAGAAAACGGTAGCTTGCGTTCATGAACATGTTCTTCGTAGATCAAATCAGTTATTTTGGCGTGGGTGCAGTTACCATCCCTGATTTCCCAGCTAGGATCTCCCAAACCTACCAAGGATCTCAGACCAACGGCGGCTGGTACAGCAGCATTGGAAATTTGGGTACAGGCAAAAATTGCCACTGCTAAAGTTGCGACTGCCTTGTACATGTTTTTCGAGAGTTGATATTTGTCTCGATATCAATACTTTAGATGCCTTTAAATATGTGAACTTGCTGTTTGATTAAGACGTAGATACTGCTAATCTCGAGTGCTATGGAATAATATTTGAAAATTTGAGTAATAATGGAAAAGCGATGGCACTTCACAAATCAATTTTTACGATTCTTCGAAATTAATATCACGGAAACGTTATTTTTGAGATTTAATAAAGTAGGTTCTAGAATTGACTTACAACCTACAGGGCGATTAACACTAAATTTATTTCATAAAAACAAAGCTCAAATATCATCATATAGCTAGTGTTATAGATGTTTGGGAAATTCTCCAGCTTAACTACACCAGCCGTTTTTGATGAAAAAATGATTTCAGACCCTAGTATTTGGGTGTAGATGAAAGAAATGATACTGAAAATGAGCGCAAACAATTAAGTTCTGAAATATTTTATTATATAATAGTTTTTTTATCGAATGTTTGTTTTCAAAGACAGTGCGATCTTGCCAGATTTCATTACTTCATAGGTTTTCGTGTTGATGGATATTCTTAATAATTAAATTTGTATTTATGACTTCTAACTCCTCACAACCCTACATAACGTCTAATGCACTAGCGACTCGAAATGCGTATTTTCGTTAATTTTCTTATAATTCTTCAATATGGCAACATCGCGGTATGTATAGGATCCGTCCTGTAACTAACCCATTTGCGGGCATTTTTAATTTCATGTCCATCATAAACAAATACATTTTGGGGAAATCTATTTATGACATGTTATACATGACATTCGAGGGCACATTTATAAAATATTGGCAATTATACAGGGTGTCTCATTTTGACCTACATATCAAAGTTGTGATTTTTCAAATGGAATGCCTCCAATTTTATTGCACATTTGAATAAACCAATTCAAAAGAAGAATATTGATATAACATACTATATTGTTTTGGCAATTTGCTACTGAGATGTAAGGTGTTTCGTCCAGAAAAACCGTCCACTTCGGCAATCCCTCAATCCGCCGTTTTGAAATTTGGAGTGCCGAATTTTCTCACCTTTTATCTTATTTGTTACTTTTTCGAATTTTAATTTTTGCTCATACAGGGTGTCAAATACGCAAATTGTAGTTTTTCTCAAAAATTTCAAATGCATCACCCTGTATATTTGTGCAAGTTCGGATACAATTTTGTATAAGCTTTTTCTGATACTAGACACAAGGGTTGTTACGGCTATTTTTTCGGTTATTAGCACGTCTTTTATGGAACGGCTTAATTCCCTAAAATATCCCATCATCCTTGTAAAGAAATAAATTGTGATTAGTTACAAACTGTCAAAATCAGCTTTGTTAGCATTATAATAAAAACGTGTTTGAAAATTAATTTTTCTATATAAGAAATGGTGAATATGGTGTTCGTTTTGGGCGAAGCCTAAAGAAATAGTTTCTTAGCATCTCGCATTTATAAGCAACGGTACCCTAATATGCGACATCTAAGGCCGGAAATATTTTCCGCACTACGAGAACGTTTTGAATCAAGTGGAGCAGTGGAATATAGTAAAAAATGTATAAATCATCCAAGTGTCACCAATGAGACTAATCAGTTGGAGGTACTATTAAAGTTGCAGGAAAATCCCCATTTAAGTGCACGGCAAGTTGGAGCAGAAACTGATATATGCAGAACTTCTGTCCAAAGGACCAAGTATACATAGATACCATCCATATCACCAATGCCTTCGTCCTCAGGATTTCGCAGCTCGAATGGAGCTTAGTAGAATAATGCTAAATAAAGTGAGTGAAGGCACTACTTTCGCTTATAAAAAATTGAATCCAAACTTGCACAAATTTACAGAGTGATGCTTTTGAAATTTTTGAGAAAAAGTACAATTCGCGTTTTTCACCACTCCGTACGAGCAAAAATGAAAATTCGAAAAAGTAACAAATAAGATAAAAGCTGAGATGTGTAAGTTTTTTTTGATATAAAATTCAGTACTCCAAATTTCAAAATGGCGGATTGAGGGGTTGCCGAAGTGGACGGTTTTTTTTGACAAAACACCTTACATCTCAGTAGCTGATTGCCAAAACCCTATAGTATGTTATATCAATCTTCTTTTGAATTGGTTTATCCAAATATGCAATAAAATTTGAGGCATTCCATTTGAAAAATCACAACTTTGATATGTATGTCGAAATTGGGACACCCTGTATAATGGTCAATATTCTACAAATGTGCCCTCAAATGTCATGTATAACACGAAAGATGACGACTACGTCATCATTTTAGTCTGTAGTAAAGACAAACAGCGACAGCGATTTGTGAATATTTTTAATGAAGTTTTAGATATGTTAGACAGAGAAAAACATAATTTTATTGTCTAAACAAACTTTATTTTTAATTTGCATGTATCCGACAAAGATAGACTATGTTTTCATGTTGCATGATCGATCATATTTGAAAGATGAGTAGTTAGGTTATGTTAAATCAGGTTAGGTTGTTTTCGAATAATACTTTGGTCCTTGGTGTTCCTGTCTTGAGGTATTCTATCTTAACTGTAGTTTTTTTTTCAAAACAAAAACTCCCCACTAAAAGTATTATTAAGGTATCACTCAAAACCATGAAATGAAATGAAAATAAGAATAATCTGTGAAATAACCTAACTTCGCAAAATCATAATATAAGTTTGTTGTTATTATGTTCCTGACATCGTGATTTTATCATCGACGTACGTCCCTTGATTACTTCAGTACAATTTATGGTATGAAGTAAGAGTTATCTTTCGTGACTTTGACTATAAATAGATTTTCCCAAAATGTATTTGCTTATTAGTAATATTCCATCCACACATGAATGGGCCACCCTGTATAGAGTGATTCAAGAATTGCGTGACGTATGACGTGAAAAGTACTGAGTCAGTCTTATTATTTTATTTTTTGAATTATCTACAAAACTCCACTAATTTGAATGCAAAACTACTAACATGCTGCCTTTGCACCCAAGGATTGAGAAGTCCTTCGTTATTATCGAGGATGAGCAAAACTCTCAATCGCATAATATAAATATATAAATCGTAATCTTTTCGAAGAACGATGGGTTTACCTGATGTCATTGCAGTCGCTATACTTATCGATAAAAAAACACTTGATGCTGGGCAAGTAAACAAATTCATATGCGATATAAATGATAAAGATCAAAATTCGTAAATTGGTACAATCATATTTCCAACATGACCCGCACAATAGAAATATAGATTTTTGTTGCGATTTGCTTCATCGCTGTTACGTCTGCAAAAATAGCCGTAACAACCCTTGTGTCTAGTATCAGCAAAAGCTTATACAAAATTGAATCCAAACTTGCACAAATATACAGGGTGATGCATTTTAAATTTTTGAGAAAAACTACAATTTGCGTTTTTGACACCCTGTATGAGCAAAAATTAAAATTCGAAAAAGTAAAAAATAAGATAAAAGCTGAGAAAATTCGGCACTCCAAATTTCAAAAAATAGTGGATTGAGGTGTTGCCGAAGTGGACGGTTTTTCTGGACAAAACACCTTACATCTCAGTAGCTGATTGCCAAAACCCTATAGCATGTTATATGAATATTCTTATTTTGATTAGGTTTATCCAAATATGCAATAAAATTTGAGGCATTCCATTTGAAAAATCACAACTTTGATATGTATGTCGAAATTAGGACACCCTGTATAATTGCCAATATTTTAGAAATGTGCCCTCAAATGTCATGTATAACATACCGTATAGTTAAAATCACGAAAGATCATTTTAGTCTGTAGTAAAGACAAACAGCGACAGCGATTTGTGAATATTTTTAATGAAGTTTTAGATATGTTAGACAGAGAAAAACATAATTTTATTGTCTAAACAAACTGTATTGGTAATTTGCATGTATCCGAGAAAGATAGACGATGTTTTCATGTTGCATGATCGATCATATTTGAAATATGAATAGTTAGGTTATGTTAAAGCAGGTTAGCTTGTTTTTGAATAATACTTTGGTCTTTGGTGTTCCTGTCTTGAGGTATTCTATCTTAACTGTAGTTTTTTTTTCAAAACAAAAACTCCCCACTAAAAGTATTATTAAGGTATCACTCAAAACCATGAAATGAAATGAAAATAAGAACAATCTGTTAAATAACCTAACTTCCCAAGATCGTAATATAAGTTTGTTGTTATTATGTTCCTGACATCGTGATTTTATCATCGACGTACGTCCATTGATTACTTCAGTACAATTTATGGTATGAAGTAAGAGTTATATATCTTTCGTGACTTTGACTATAAATAGATTTTCCCAAAATGTATTTGCTTATTAGTAATATTCCGTCCACACATGGATGGGCCACCCTGTATAGAGTGATTCAAGAATTGCGTGACGTATGACGTGAAAAGTACTGAGTCAGTCTTATTATTTTATTTTTTGAATTATCTACAAAACTCCACTAATTTCCAATAGTCTGGGTTGTCTGACGATCCAGTCCTAAGCGGTACTTCGGCAGGACGTACACGGGGCCCAATGGGCCTAAGTGCTGTGATCTTGGTTGATTGTTCTTGCTCCTATACAGAATACAGAGCCTGGAACCTGCAGTCGACACATCAGTGTCTGCTTCTCTAAATCTCTCAGTAGGGTAATTTTCCTGTCCTTGATAAAAGTTTGGTGAAATAAAATGGCAAAAGCTGAGTCTTCTGACATAAAATGCTTAGGGCTCGCAAATACAAAATTACAAGAGCACTGGGGCATTAGAGCGTAGTTTCAAAACGCCCAAATTTAAATTTAATATATCATTCCAAACAAAATGGTAGTAATTTTTAGTTTGAAACATCTGTGACACAAGTAATTTAGTTATAGCTGTTTCCGATTTTTTGTTCATATGAAGCCCACGATAGGTCATTTCGCTTTTTTTTTGGTTTTTTGTGTGACTAACATTAGGACATGTAGAAACTGGTTCAGTTACGTTTTCCTGAATCTGCGCCCTTAGTTGAGAATTAGTTCTGATCTAGCTTTGACTCGAGGGGGAGGACTTACTCACAGTTGCGGATTTAGAAGGCTGGGAGGAAAGGTATCGGCAAATGAAAATTGGCTCGGCTGCAACAGTGCTTCTAAGAGCTGATGACTTTCTAATAACTGAAGAATCGGTAGAGGGTCCGCCCTTGATTGAGAATAGTGCACCCCCCCATGACACTGAACCCTGAGATGGCTGCATCATTTGCTGACCGTCTTTAGCAGGCTCTGGAATAGCCCTGTCTGTAGATTGTTTAAGATATGATGCTTATCAGGGAACTTCTCGGAGAACTCACGTCAAAATAAAAATACATCACGAATTGTCTTATTACTTTAAAACAATCCGTGCCTTCATCATACAAGTATATTTCGAACTTCTGGACGTCTATGATAGTTCAATCCATATCGTCTATTTTGTTTATGTTTACTTTTATTGTACATACTCTGATAATGTATAGCCTCTAACTACGAGAGAGCCTTTATAATTTAGCAACAAAATGCACGCTTTCAAGGGAATTAGTGGACAGAATCATACAATTTTGGTTATCTTAACCAGAAATAGTCATGATTGAGTAAACATAATTTCTTCATGGAGGAAACTAAAACACTATATAATTACATTTTATTTATTTATCTCTTATATTTACCAAATACTTGAATATTGTACTCTAAACCGTGATATTTGGCTGATTTCATGTGCAAGCTGACGAAGTTGTGACCTACTCCGCCTCTCAAGATCTCAACCGTTGATCCCATAGCTTGGAACTTCTGGCTTATAGCCATTACACAGTAGATGATCTCATCACCAAACCATTCAACCTAGAATGAATCAATTTGTATAGATAAAATTGGTTTGTTGGAAATAATCGAACTAGATTCTTTGGCGAAACAGTGTGACTATTATACAACTGATTAGTAAAATAATATATTTTTATTGAGAAACCGACCGTATAATAAAAAAATTGCTTAAATAACATAGTTTCAACTACATTTTTACAGTTTTCGTCCAAACCTCAGTTTGAAACTTCCAGCATTGGCTTACTCTCACTTCAAATAACGTCATGCTCGTTAAATTGTTCAATAAACTGCCTCACCAAAGAGTATTTATAAAAGTTGAAAAAAAGATAATTTCAGAAAACCCTTTGTATTAAGTACTTTAATCACGATTTTTAAATGTGCTTTGAGTGTTATAGTTTGTAACTTCTGTGTAATGTTATCTTGCTACCTATATATAATCGCAACCCGACACAGCACTTGTGTTCATATACAAGCATTCTCTCCAAAACGACGACAACCTGACCAGTTTCTCAATAATTGGTGGAACTGCCGTCGCCAGTCGGTTTGGAAATGGTGAAAGTCTATACATGCCATTGTGACATTTTAGCTAACGTTCCGATCGTACCTTCAAAAAAACATTTACAGTAGGATAAAGTACTTCCCCATCGCAAGCGTTTGTGTTCTTTGAGGTGACTCAGTTGGAACAACCGTGTTGGACACCTTCTAGGGGACTATATAGTTTATACAAGAAGTATGGCAATTAAGACATGAAATATGTTTTCGTACAAGGTGCTACTTATCGAAATAAGAGAGAGCAAAACGCCATCTACTACCAGAATCGCCTACTGCGAGAGTGTATAGCAGCTATCGGTTGTAATTTTGAAAATCTCATTTCGCGTTTGATAGGCCAGTTACCACTGTGATATGTTTTCGTTCGTTGTTCTAAAGACCAAGCCTATACTTTGCTGATGAGTTGTCAAAAAGCACGAAACAGCTGTCTGTGGTTGGCTGTTGTCGGACGGACGAAAGCAGCACGTTTAATTAAGGTTTCTGCATATCGTCCCTTGCACATTATATTTGTCGTACATGTGGCGTTTGTGTAGCCAATATTAGTATAACAGAGTTCTGCCACTCCCAAACCGGTTTGTTTCAGTATGTTAACACCTTCAGGGGAAGATTTAAACTGTTTTATATTTGAAAATGTATTAGTTTATTCAATGGCAAGTAGACCACCTCTACTATACAGCCACAATCGTCAGCCAACTAGCTGTCTTATGGTGACTGGTATGTTAAACCTGAACTGAGATCTTTACAGTACCAAAAAATAGCAGCTATGCGCTCTCGCAGTGGTCGATTCTGGTGAAAGGTGGCGCTTTGCCCTGTCTTCTTTCCCCTTCTACTTCTATCCCGACTGAGCGAGTAAAAAAATGCTGGTTTCGGAATAAAGCAATAATGCCTCTGAACGATGCGCCTGCCAAACAGACCGACCTAGCTCGGCCTCCCATCCTTAAAGTGTCGAACTTCGTACTTCCAGAACTGGGCGATATAACTGCATCTTTGTCCCTAGGATTTTCTGTCAGTCAAGGTTATATAATGATATATTACTTATATTCCGCGTTCTTACTGGTAAAGTACATAGTGACGTTTTCCATGACCTCAAAACAAGGCTGCTAGTTGTTTAACGGTTGTCTTCGGTGAGAATGCAAAAGCAACGTAACTAATGTCGAAATGAGGATGAAGTCGAGTTGCTTTTGGTAACACCAGGGCTCACTGTAGCAAACCCAGGGTAGTCTCGGTAACTTGAGTTTCGAGACAGGACTTTCTAGATTTGAAGTTTAGTTATTTAACACACAAGTTACTGCTGCACTACGTGCCGAAGGTGAAAAAATAAAATATCCTACAAGTTTTTATCAGTCCTCTCAATTTTCGGCTGTATTAAAAAAACTGTAATGGCCTCTAAAACATTGAACTATGAAAACTTACCGTAGCGTCTCTTGTAGAAAACGGTAGCCTGCGTTTATGAACATGTTCTTCGTAGATCAAATCAGTTATTTTGGCGTGGGTGCAGTTACCATCCCTGATTTCCCAGCTAGGATCACCCAAACCTACCAAGGATCTCAGACCAACGGCGGCTGGTACAGCAGCATTGGAAAGTTGGGTACAGGCAAAAATTGCCACTGCTAAAGTTGCGACTGCCTTGTACATGTTTTTCGAGAGTTGATATTTGTCTCGATATCAATACTTTAGATGCCTTTAAATATGTGAACTTGCTGTTTGATTAAGACGTAGATACTGGTAATCTCGAGTGCTATGGAATAATATTTGGTAAAATTTGAGTAATAATGGAAAAGCGATGGCACTTCACAAATCAATTTTTACGACTCTTCGAAATTAATATCACGGAAACGTTATTTTTGAGATTTAATAAAGTAGGTTCTAGAATTGACTTACAACCTACAGGGCGATCAACACTAAATTTATTTCATAAAAACAAAGCTCAAATACCACCATATAGCTAGTGTTATAGATGCTTGGGAAATTCTCCAGCTTAACTACACCAACCGTTTTTGATGAAATAATGATTTCAGACCCTAGTATTTGGATGTAGATGAAAGAAATGAGACTGAAAATGAGCACAAACAATTAAGTTCTGAAATATTTTATTATATAATAGTTTTTTATCGAATGTTTGTTTTCAAAGACAGTGCGATGTTGCCAGATTTCATTACTTCATAGGTTTTCGTGTTGATGGATATTCTTAATAATTAAATTTGTATTTATGACTTCTAACTCCACACAACCCTACATAACGTCTAATGCACTAGCGACCCGAAATGCGTATTTTCGTTTATTTTCTTATAATTCTTCAATATGTCAACATCGCGGTATGTATAGGATCCGTCCTGTAACTAACCCATTTGCGGGCATTTTTAATTTCATGTCCATCATTTACAACCCAAACCTAGTGACTATTCGGACGGAGAAACAAAAAAGGCTGGTGTAGCTAAGATAGAGAGTTACCGATGTTTGTAGAAAAACACTTTTTTCTGGCCAAATGAGACCACATACGTATAATTTACTCTTTACTGATGTTTAGGCTATCCCGTTGTCCTATTTCTAGGTACACAAACGACAATGGCAATATATTTTATCTGTTTTCCAAGTGACAGTTTATTTGATTTTTCTTCGTTGGATTACAATGTAGTAACTGTTTCAAGCGTGCGATGTCGTGGATAACAGCTAGAGCAAAATAAAACGAATGTCTCGCTAGACTGTCGTAGGTTGAGTTGCGCTGTTGCCGGCTTGACGCTGACGGTGGAGATTCTGCTACTTCCCAAGAAAGCTGATTACGAAATCGTCAATGAGCTCGCGTATAAAACCATGCCTAATATAACCTTCCTCGGGTAAGTATACAAATTTTTACGTTTTTCCGTTTAGACGTGATGCTGACAGACTAGACAGACATTAACATTTATACAGGGTGACCCATCCATGTGTGGACGGAATATTACTTATAAACAAATATATTTTGGGAAAATCTATTGGCATGTTATACATGACATTCGAGGGCACATTTCTAAAATACTGGCAATTATACAGGGTGTCTCATTTTGACCTACATATCACAGTTGTGATTTTTCAAATGGAATGCCTCCAATTTTATTGCATATTTGGATAAACCAATTCAAAAGAAGAATATTGATATAACATACTATAGGGTTTTGGCAATTTGCTACTAGATGTAAGGTGTTTCGTCCAGAAAAACCGTCCACTTCGGCAACCCCTCAATCCGCCATTTTGAAGTTTGGAGTGCCAAATTTTCTCAGCTTTTATCTTATTTGCTACTTTTTCGAATTTCAATTTTTGCTCATACAGGGTGTCAAAAACGCAAATTGTACTTTTTCTAAAAAATTTCAAATGTATCAGCCTGTATATTTGTGCAAGTTTGGATTCAATTTTGTATAAGCTTTTTCTGATACTAGACACAAGGGTTGTTACGGCTATTTTTTCGGTTATTAGCACGTCTTTTATGGAACGGCTTAATTCCCTGAAATATCGCATCATCCTTGGAAAGAAACAAATTGTTGATTAGTTACAAACTGTCAAAATTAGCTTTGTGAGCATTATAATAAAAACGTGTTTGAAAATGAATTTTACTATATAAGAAATGGTGAATATGGTGTTCGTTTTGGGCGAAGCCCAAAGAAATAGTTTCTTAGCATCTCGCATTTATAAGCAACGGTACCCTAATATGCGATGTCCAAGGCCGGAAACATTTTCCACACTACGAGAACGTTTTGAATCAAGTGGAGCAGTGGCATATAGTAAAAAATGTATAAATCATCCAAGTGTCACCAATGAGACTAATCAGTTGGAGGTACTATTAAAGTTGCAGGAAAATCCCCATTTAAGAGCACGGCAAGTTGGAGCAGAAACTAAGATATGCAGAACTTCTGTCCAAAGGACCAAGCATAGGCACCATCCATATCACCAATGCCTTCGTCCTCAGGATTTCGCAGCTCGAATGGAGCTTAGTAGAATAATGCTAAATAAAGTGAGTGAAGGCACTACTTTCGCTTATAAAAAATTGAATCCAAACTTGCACAAATATACAGGGTGATGCTTTTGAAATTTTTGAGAAAAAGTACAATTCGCGTTTTTCACCACTCTGTACGAGCAAAAATGAAAATTCGAAAAAGTAACAAATAAGATAAAAGCTGAGAAAATTCGGCACTCCAAATTTCAAAATAGTGGATTGAGGTGTTGCCGAAGTGGACGGTTTTTCTGGACAAAACACCTTACATCTCAGTAGCTGATTGCCAAAACCCTATAGCATGTTATATGAATATTCTTATTTTGATTAGGTTTATCCAAATATGCAATAAAATTTGAGGCATTCCATTTGAAAAATCACAACTTTGATATGTATGTCGAAATTAGGACATCGTGATGTTATCATCGACGTACGTCGCTTGATTACTTCAGTACAATTTATGGTATGAAGTAAGAGTTATATATCTTTCGTGACTTTGACTATAAGTAGATTTTCCCAAAATGTATTTGCTTATTAGTAATATTCCGTCCACACATGGATGGTCCACCCTGTATTGAGTGATTTCAAGAATTGCGTGACGTATGACGTGAAAAGTACTGAGTCAGTCTTATTATTTTATTTTTTGAATTATCTACAAAACTCCACTAATTTGAATTCAAAACTACTAACATGCTGCCTTTGCACCCAAGGATTGAGAATTCCTTCGTTATTATCGAGGATGAGCAAAACTCTTATCAATCGCATAATATAAATATATAAATCGCAATCTTTTCGAAGAACGATGGGTTTACCTCATGTCATCGCAGTCGCTATACTTATCGATAAAAAACACTTGATGCTGGGCAAGTAAACAAATTCATATGCTATATAAATGATAAAGATCAAAATTCGTAAATTGGTACAATCATATTTCCAACATGACCCGAACAATAGAAATATTGGTTTTTGTTGCGATTTGCTTCATCGCTGTTACGTCTGCAAAAATAGCCGTAACAACCCTTGCGTCTAGTATCAGAAAAAGCTTATACAAAATTGAATCCAAACTTGCACAAATATACAGGGTGATGCATTTGAACTTTTTGAGAAAAACTACAATTTGCGTTTTTGACACCCTGTATGAGCAAAAATTAAAATTCGAAAAAGTAACAAATAAGATAAAAGCTGAGATGTGTAAGTTTTTTTGATATAAAATTCAGTACTCCAAATTTCAAAATGGCGGATTGAGGGGTTGCCGAAGTGGACGGTTTTTCTGGACAAAACACCTTACATCTCAGTAGCTGATTGATAAAACCCTTTAGTATGTTATATCAATATTCTTCTTTTGAATTGGTTTATCCAAATATGCAATAAAATTTGAGGCATTCCATTTGAAAAATCACAACTTTGATATGTGGTACACCCTGTATAATGGCCAATATTCTAGAAATGTGCCCTCAAATGTCATGTATAACATACCGTATAGTTAAAATCACGAAAGATGACGATTACGTCATCATTTTAGTCTGTAGTAAAGACAAACAGCGACAGCGATTTGTGAATATTTTTAATGAAGTTTTAGATAGGTTAGACAGAGAAAAACAATTTTATTGTCTAAACAAACTGTATTTTCTTAATTTGCAGGTAACCGACAAAGATAGACGATGTTTTCATGTTGCATGATCGATCATATTTGAAAGATGAATAGTTAGGTTATGTTCAAGCAGGTTAGGTTGTTTTCGAATAATACTTTGGTCTTTGGTGTTCCGGTCTTGAGGCAATCATATTTCCAACATATATCTTAACTTTAGTTTTTTTTCAAAACAAAAACTCCCCACTAAAAGTATTATTAACGTATCACTCGAAACTATGAAATGAAATGAAAATAAGTATAATCTGTGAAATAACCTAACTTCGCAAAATCATAATATAAGTTTGTTGTTATTATGTTCCTGACATCGTGATGTTATCATCGACGTACGTCGCTTGATTACTTCAGTACAATTTATGGTATGAAGTAAGAGTTATATATCTTTCGTGACTTTGACTATAAGTAGATTTTCCTAAAATGTATTTGCTTATTAGTAATATTCCGTCCACACATGGATGGCCCACCCTGTATTGAGTGATTTCAAGAATTGCGTGACGTATGACGTGAAAAGTACTGAGTCAGTCTTATTATTTTATTTTTTGAATTATCTTCAAAACTCCACTAATTTGAATGCAAAACTACTAACATGCTGCCTTTGCACCCAAGGATCGAGAATTCCTTCGTTATTATCGAGGATGAGCAAAACTCTTATCAATCGCATAATATAAATATATACGTATAAATCGCAATCTTTTCGAAGAACGATGGGTTTACCTGATGTCATCGCAGTCGCTATACTTATCGATAAAAAAACACTTGATGCTGGGCAAGTAAACAAATTCATATGCTATATAAATGATAAAGATCAAAATTCGTAAATTGGTACAATCATATTTCCAACATGACCCGAACAATAGAAATATTGGTTTTTGTTGCGATTTGCTTCATCGCTGTTACGTCTGCAAAAATAGCCGTAACAACCCTTGCGTCTAGTATCAGAAAAAGCTTATACAAAATTGAATCCAAACTTGCACAAATATACAGGGTGATGCATTTGAACTTTTTGAGAAAAACTACAATTTGCGTTTTTGACCCTGTATGAGCAAAAATTAAAATTCGAAAAAGTAACAAATAAGATAAAAGCTGAGATGTGTAAGTTTTTTTTGATATAAAATTCAGTACTCCAAATTTCAAAATGGCGGATTGAGGGGTTGCCGAAGTGGACGGTTTTTCTGGACAAAACACCTTACATCTCAGTAGCTGATTGCCAAAACCCTTTAGTATGTTATATCAATGTTCTTCTTTTGAATTGGTTTATCCAAATATGCAATAAAATTTGAGGCATTCCATTTGAAAAATCACAACTTTGATATGTGGGACACCCTGTATAATGGCCAATATTCTAGAAATGTGCCCTCAAATGTCATGTATAACATACCATATAGTTAAAATCACGAAAGATGACGATTACGTCATCATTTTAGTCTGTAGTAAAGACAAACAGCGACAGCGATTTGTGAATATTTTTAATGAAGTTTTAGATAGGTTAGACAGAGAAAAACAATTTTATTGTCTAAACAAACTGTATTGGTAATTTGCATGTATCCGACAAAGATAGACGATGTTTTCATGTTGCATGATCGATCATATTTGAAAGATGAATAGTTAGGTTATGTTAAAGCAGGTTAGGTTGTTTTCGAATAATACTTTGGTCTTTGGTGTACCTGTCTTGAGGTATTCTATCTTAACTGTAGTTTATTTTCAAAACAAAAACTCCCCACCAAAAGTATTATTAAGGTATCTCTCAAAACCATGAAACGAAATGAAAATAAGAAATGTGAAATAACCTAACTTCGCAAAATCATAATATAAGTTTGTTGTTATTATGTTCCTGACATCGTGATTTTATCATCGACGTACGTCCATTGATTACTTCAGTACAATTTATGGTATGAAGTAAGAGTTATCTTTCGTGACTTTGACTATAAATAGATTTCCCAAAATGTATTTGCTTATTAGTAATATTCCGTCCACACATGGATGGGCCACCCTGTATAGAGTGATTCAAGAATTGCGTGACGTATGACGTGAAAAGTACTGAGTCAGTCTTACTATTTTATTATTTGAATTATCTACAAAACTCCACTAATTTGAATGCAAAACTACTAACATGCTGACTTTGCACCCAAGGATTGAGAATTCCTCCGTTATTATCAAGGATGAGCAAAACTCTTATCAATCGCATAATATAAATATATAAATCGTAATCTTTTCGAAGAACGATGGGTTTACCTGATGTCATCGTAGTCGCTATACTTATCGATAAAAAAACACTTGATGCTGGGCAAGTAAACAAATTCATATGCTATATAAATGATAAAGATCAAAATTCGTAAATTGGTACAATCATATTTCCAACATGACTCGAACAACAGAAATATTGATTTTTGTTGCGATTTGCTTCATCGCTGTTACGTCTGCAAAAGATCCATTTGAACTGGTTGAAGGAAATTGCAGCCATGCTCAGGCAGGAGATATGGTTCTACTGAAACACGTACATAAGTATGCCTTACCTTTAACTACCAGAGAAGAAACGGTGAGTATTTCACTTAAATTAGCAAAATCATTAGTGTAGTAATAAAGTTACGAAATTGTACTGAGCCTCAAAATTAGTGCTCATAGTAGTTTTGTTAATCTTCAATTAGGAAGTTTCCTATAGTCCCGAAAATACTGCTATTTCCACTTGCATATAATAGTATGACTGATATTTTCCACAAATCTGAAATAATTACTCTGATAAGCGAAAATTTAAGAAAGTTATGACATTTTCTGTGTTGGGTGCCTCGCGCGTCGAGGTTCGATCGTGACGTCACACGACATGAGTTCGGCTTCGGGGCATCGGTACTGACGCGGCCGTAAGATACGACGGCCCGTGCATATAGCATTCATCTAGCGCGCTCAAGCTGACCAGTTGCAATATAATATTGTTTGCATCTTGGCATATTTTAGACATATAATAAATAAAATGCAAGAAAGTTTTCTGCGTACCAATTCCTCTAATCTTCCAAATGTGGACATAATAATGGTTAATGGTTAAATGTACTATGCCAAAGATGTACGCTTTGGCACGCATCAGCATTTATAATTGAAGACACAAGTGGATAAAGGCGACATGCAACAAAATAATTGTATGGGGAAAATTGACTTTAAACATTTTTATTGGGACATTTACTTTAATGAAATTTTAGACATTTAGTTTAATTAGTATGTTATTATCTTGTTTTTGCAGAAAATAAATCACAGAATGAAAGAATCACTTTTTAAGGTTACTTTAATGCAAAAAAAGCAGTCAAAAAAATGTTACATGACACCTTTATTCACTTGTGACTTCAATTATCAGCAATCGCGATCGACGCTACGGCGGTCCTAAAATGTAGCGAAAATTAAAAATATTCGCTAAATTTTACAAAAAAATCCGATTCTATATTTTTCAGACAAAATGCCGGATTTAATAAAAAAAAGTTTTGATTGAGTTCAAATTTAAGTTATAGATACTTTCAGCGTCGATAATAACAAACTTGATATCGATCATTCAAAAATCGGTTTGGTAATATACGACATCTATATTTACAAAAAATGATTTGATCGTAGTCAAAATTAATTTCGAGTATTTTTAAGATCGCTGATAACGAGTTAAATATTGATTCGTAAAAAATCTGAATAGCGGATCCAGTAAGTTTGCAAAAAAAATTGTCGACTGCGCTCAAATTCCAGTTTTATACGTTTTCAAGATATAGTGTATGTATTACTGTATAATGTGGGATAATTGACAAACTTGCAGTTAGCTGCAGCCAAAATTGCAATATTTCTCAACTGGCTGTCCGTTGATCAACAAAACGGAGCTGATTCTAGTGGACTTTTTTAATCTCCTTTTGAATTCACTAATTACAGAAAAAGTATCAATTACATATTGTTGTCGTATAATTTCATGTGTCGATTGGCGAGTAATACAATGCCAAAACACAATAACTATTCCTTCGATTTAGCAATCCATTTTGCTACATCTCAATACAGTTAAATATTTTAAAACGTGGTACTATTCGATGGTACAAATTTTTTGAACTTATGGCCAGGTTGTTTGGATTCTGAACCATGCCTATGGATCTCCACGACGACACAGACGGGGTTCAAGGAAAATTCCTCCTAGAACCACACGATGATCATTATAGCAAAAGTAATAATCAAATCTATCCCCCGTCTCAGTTAGGTAATTTAGCTAATACACTAATATTCATTTTGATCCTTTTTACCATATTAACTGGATACCTACTAACATCAAAATGAGATTTACAGCAGTACAAAGGTATTTCCGAAAGAGGTAATTTCATTGCTCCGTCGTGTTCATTACCCTGCACCACTTCCTTCTAATTTTTCTATATTTTCGCACAGGCTTACATGTTTATCTGGAGCTGATGTGCCTCTATTTGTACACCTAGGTACACTTCAGAATTTGTAACTCTGTGGTCAAAAAATCCCCATACTGGGTAGAGTAACGTTTGTAAATAGCACGAACCGTGCATGGCAGACGCATCGCTTTGTGGTACCGATGGTAGCTGGTACCATGTGTCGTGATCGTGTCAAAGGCTTGTGGTCCAACAACATAGTTCTCCAAATATTAAACTTCTGGGTAGCGCAACTTTGTCAATTCTTAAGATATTAAAATTTTTTTTCAGTGCTGTGCTTTATTGACTATCATTTTAAATGTGTTCCAAAGAATAGGAAACTTCCTCATTGTAAACATGTACAAAAGTGTCCCAGTAAAATCATTTTTATTTTCGTCATTTACAGTGGTCAAAAACAAGCTTCTTAGACAATTTCGGTACACATTGATTCGCTATTGATGGTGCAAAGAACATATAAATAAATAAATTGCTACGAAATATAGCACCGTAACGCACGTAACGATATCTTCAAAATGTAAACTATTTGCAATACTTATCAAAAAATGATAATATTGAGTTCCGATCTTTTTCTTGCCAGTTTCAAAGTTTTTCTAACTTTACCTATTCTACTGCGAACGTACAGTTGTCTCTAGATATAGTCTAAACTACAACCTTCAACTCACAAGTCAGTGGTAGCTCTAGATCATATATGGACATCGGTAACATCAGCTTTGCCAGGCCCCTTCAATTTGCCAGTGAAAAAAGCACACTTAATATATACCTGATGTTTCATAACTATACTGAGTGACATATAAATCCGAACACCCAGTTTAAATGGTTTTATTTTAATAAAAGTTGGTGAATGTATTTATCTTACTATAAATAACAAGTGAAAAAAATTTCAGCCTTATCAGTTGGACATTCCGGTTTTTATTCTGCTTTTTTTTAATTCACTAAGGCTCTAAAAATGAATATTTCAGCCGCAGTAAAGAATCAACGTTGGCGGATTTTGGTTCTTGACATCCTTTACGATCGGTTACGATGCCTAGAGTACGGAGACCTGTACGATTTCGTCAACTTAGTGAGTTTGATAGGGGCCGTATAGTGGGACTTCGGGAAGCTGGACTTTCTTTTCGGGCAATTGCAGTTAGAGTGCAAAGAAGTGTAGACACTGTGGTTAGGTGTTGTCAGGCATGGCTTCGAGAAGGCCGTACGCAAAGAGCAAGGGGCACTGGACACCGCCGTAGAACAACAGACCGTGAAGATCGCCGCCTAAGATTATTGGCCTTAAGGGACCGTTTCTCCACTACCAGGTCCATTGCAAATTAATGGTTTGCAGAACACGGAAGACCTATTGGCATGCGAAGTGTTTACCGACGAATGAGAAGTTTTGGTTTGTTTTCATACCGGCCACACTGGGTCCTCCCTTTAACTCGAGAACACCGACGTAATCGCCTTGAGTGGTGCAGACAACGGTCACTCTGGGATCAGGAATGGAACAGTATTGTCTTTAGTGACGAGTCTCGATTTTGTTTAGGCATGCACGATGGTCGTGCCAGGGTTAGAAGGCGACGTGGTGAAAGGAGGAATCCACAGTTTTTTTGTTGAAAGACATGTTCATCACACTGTTGGAGTTATGGCTTGGGGTGCTATAGCTTATGGTTCCAGGTCACCTTTAATCTTCATCAGAGGTAACATGAACGCGCAGCGTTATATCCACGAAGTTCTAGAACCCCATCTTTTACCCTATCTTGACACCCTGGCAGATCCAACTTTCCAACAAGATAATGCCCGACCACATGTTGCAAGAGTCACAATAGACTTCTTTCAACATAATGATGTCACATTGTTACCATGGCCACCAAGATCTCCCGACTTATCCCCAATTGAGCACGTGTGGGATATGATGGGTAGGAGATTGCTCAATTTGCAACGTCCTCCTCAGACTCTAGAAGCACTTCGAGAGGAGTTGGTGGTTGCCTGGAATGAGATACTACAGGAGGACATTGACCACCTGATCAGAAGCATGCCTAGGCGCGTTGGAGAATGCGTAGCACATCAGGGTGCATCCACACATTATTAAAGGTCAAAGGGCTTTAAAGCAGTGCAATCATTTTGAAATTTTCATCATTTACTTATTATGCTTCATTAAGTACTTATACAAAATTTTATTAAAATAAAACCATTTAAACTGGGTGTTCGGATTTATATGTCACTTAGTATATTTCCGCTTCACTTGATAAAATTGCGTCATCGACACTCTGGTAAACTGGATCTTACAAGCTGGAATTCTTCATATACTTCGCTGTTTTTTCCTAAGTCGTTACAATGCTTGACAAGGTCCTCCTTTGATATAGATTTCAAGAGCACATATTATCTTAAAATTATGATGCTTCGAAATCACATATACTTGAAATGAGGTGATATCATTGTTTCAAATAGAATTCTTACAATTAATGAATTAATCTCAGTTTAAAGGAATATGTTTTAGAGCTTTAGAAATAAAGCATATCATAGTCATGATTCTCAATTCAATATAGATGGGTCTGATCTTAGAGCATTTCTTTTAGTGTGTATGCTCTTATTGCCATTTTTACTTTGATATTTTCACATTACATTAAACTGTATTTGTCATTTTGTGGTTTCTGGTCATGTTTGATTTTTATTTACGTTTGGATAGTTTTGGATTTGTAGTTTGAATAGTGGAGGAACTAAATGTTGGGTCAGTACTCACAAAAAGCTCTTCTCTTCTGAGTAAATTTATGATTAATAACCACAAAATTAACGACACACGGAGAACGAAATTGACCTTTGAATCGCTTGACAAAAGCTCCTTCGCTATTAGCTCATTAAGCCATACAAAATAAAACAAAAATACATCGATATTTATCTCTACGATGTTTGCATACCTAGACAGTAGAAAGCACTATCTTAGTTCCATATAATTGCTGTGGATGTAGAGACTCTAAAATAAATCGCATTGTTTCGATACTGGAATAACAACAAATCCACATACTTTCACTGTGCTTATGAAGCGATTCAATCGGCAGGCTCCCACCTTCCCGCGCTCCGCACGTCCACAAGCTGTCGGGTACGTCAAAACGATGCACAGAGCGGTGGTCAGGAGGTATTCGAAGTTGGCTGACCTTTTTATACTAACTGCGATAAGAATTAATAAAAAACATTGTTTCTATATCGGCTAAGGTTTGGTTAAACTTAATTTGCACATAACTTGTACGGTGAGTGCGATACAAAAATGTTTCGACCTTGTGAAGGCCCATACAGCCCTCAGGCACGTCAACGGCGCACGGGCATCGAAAGTCTTGTAGCAAAACCTTTTAAGACAGTGATACTGTTAGTGCATATGATCGTGTCACTAGCAACGATGGCAACAATGATAATCAGGGACACTGACATACTTTTAAAAGGAAATGTTTATCTGTCGATGTTCAGCAAATTTGCCTAAATGTTTATAATGGATTGTTGCATGACGGACGATAGCGGTAAGGGGAGTGTCCCTAAAAATGCAGCTAAACTGACTAACGTGTCATATACTACAATATGTAAGATTCTTCGAATTGGTATAAAACCAAGAAAATGGCGATCTGACAAGGGGACGTCTAGACCTTTAAGTGCAATAAAACTGCCAAAATAAGGAACGAGGTATATAACCATTATAAAGGCAATGAAATTCTCACAGCAGATATGTTACATCGGAAATTATTGGAAATCAGGCGTATAATGGAATGACGACAGACTCACTTGGAAAGAATAAACGATTATAGAGACGAAGGTGGGCCGATATATAGTATTGACGAAACTTTGTATAGCCGTTCCAGTCCTCAGTAGCGGCCTTCTGGGGACTATAAGTATGTCGTGAACTAAAAGTAGTGATGACATAACTAAATTTAATATTTTTATTAATAAGGTAATTTATACTTAGTTCTGAAAGTAACGAAAGAATCGGGACAAGATTTTCTAGATTCTAGATCTGTTAGAACGTAATAGTGGAGACCTGCACCTACCTTTTTCAGCACGACTTTAGTGCTTTTTCGTTTGAATTTCAGACCACTAGTCAGAATATTAGCCACTAAGTACCATAGGCAATAATTAGAAAGTATAGAAGCTTCCTTTGAACAAACTAGTAATATAGCTTTCGTCCCGCCACAAACGGCCAACCTTGGATAGCTTTCTCGTGCTATTTGGCAACTCATCAGCATGGTTTAGGCTTGGTCGATCTTGTAATAGATGACACCTTGTGTTATCTTATTTTGATAGACCTTATATCCTGGATGGATGATAATTGCTCTGTGGACGGATGAAAGCTGTATTACTAGTTTGTTCAATGGCGAGTGATGGCCCGGCTATCACATACGAACTGGGATACAGTTCCAACAAACAGCCTGTTCGTAGTGATCGATTCTGGTAATAGATAATAAAGGGTGGGTCATCGGTTGTTTTTTTAAGTTGGTATTATTTTGACAGTTAGTAACACTTCCATGCTCAACATATTGACAGATATATTGTGTCAAACATCCGCTGTGAGCAATGGATCGCTTTACTCTTGAACAAAGATGGGAAATATTGAAAAACTATTTTCAAAGTGAGTGCTGTGTTGCAGAAACTTTGCGAAAATTGAGACGACTATTTGGTCAGAGTGTGCGTGAAAACGCAATAATGTCAACTCGTCACAGAGCAGAACAAGTGGGCATCAGTCGCACTTCTGTCCGCTTCCATATCGTTTCTCTGTGTGGACTCTAAATCAGTTGGAAACGGACGTCAATTTTGGTCGCGAAATCATATTTTCGGACGAAGCCCATTTCCGTCTGGAGGTTACGTTAACAAGCAGAAATGTAGGATTTGGGATTCTGAAAATCCACATGTCGTCATAGAAAAACCAATGCATACAAAAAGAGTATCTGTTTGGTGTGGCTTTTGGAGTCGGGATTATTGGTCCCTACTTTTTCCAAGATGAAGATGGTAACAGCGTGACGGTAAACGTGGAACGCTATAGAGACATGTTGAGATGTTGAGGAGTTTGTTGTGGCCACTATTAGACCACATGCACTTGCACAATCTCTGATTCCAGCAGAATGATGCAAAATGTTACACCAGCCGTGAAACAATCGATCTCTTACTCTCTAAGTTCGGTCATCGCGTTATCAGCCGTTTTGGAGACGTTCATTGGTCAGCCCGCAGCTGTGATTTGACGCCCATGGATTACTTTCTATGGGGTACTGTTAAGGATCGCTTTTACACTAACGATCCTCAAACAATTGATGTTCTTGAGGAAAATATCCGTCGAGCTATTGATGAAATAGACCCACAAACTATCGAAAATGTGCTTCAAATTGGGTTAAGAGGATGGACTTCTGCCAGGCCAGCCGCGGCAGCCATTTAACTGAAATTGTTTTTCATAAATAATCGGAAGGTGTATTCTTTTGAATAAAGTGTCGAGTGTTACATACATATTATTGAAGAGTGTAGTTTTAATACCAATTTAAAAAAGAAACCAACGGATGGCCCACTCTTTATTTTGTGCTGTTTTATTTTGATTATCCTCTTTTGATTTCAGGTCAGTTGGAAGGGAAACGGTAGAATCTATTGTATAACGGTTTTGAGCGAAAGCAAAGACACCAAATCTGGCGTGAGAGTGAGCAACGGTGGTGTTTGGTACAGCTTTGCAGACGTATATGTTCATTCTGAAAGAGGTTATGGTTACAAATACTATATTCGAATATTTGCAAAGTAAAATTGTATTACCCGGATTAAATTAAAGTGACATTTTTACCTTGTTTTTTATTCTTCTGAATATTTGACGTAACTGTCGTCCATATAAGCATGCGCGTGGGCTCCAAATACTGGGCTTGTAATCTATAAGGTACATGGCTTACTATGCTAAGCTGTTCGATGCATTTAGACTACCAAGATGTATGGCAGCTGCACAAATCCCAGCAAAGCTTTTAAACTAAGTACTAGAATTTTAAACATTTGTCTGATTTTATAAACAAGATTTGATAATAGAACATTCTTTACCTTGACATAATCGTGTTTTTTATAGCTGAAATTTACTCAGTGGTAAAGAACATAGAACACCCTGTTGAATGATTTGACTTGAATGCAGTGTTATACACCGTTAGACATAAATACGAGGAAGTCGTGATTAAATTTTAAATTGAAAACATTTGCTGCAGTGCTGGATTGGGCCGCCCTCATGTCGTATGCATTCGTCCAGTGGTTCGGGCCTAGTTCTGTGGATGTGATTATGTCTTCTTGAGATATCTCGTTCAAAGCTAGCTGCTTTTGGTTCCAAAGAGCTGTTAGCGTTTGTGGCAGATGAGGTAAAAAGGTCACAATCCTTCCCATTATGTCATACACATGTTCAAAGAGCGAAAGGTCTTGCGATCTGAGTCAAGGAAGGAGGCTGACTTGAGCCTGATTGCTGCGAGGTAGAATAACAAGAGTAACAAATGGAGCGGTCCCCGATTAAGAAAGTATCTCTCCTGGGGCAGAAGCACAAATGCAGCCTCGCTCTTCAATTTTAATTCACCGATAACATCCACCGCGTTTAGAAGCACTGATGAAACTCGATTCTCCCCCCGATCTTCAATTTTTAATCGCCAAGCATTTCATGTTCCTTTGTCCCACCCACCAAAATTTCTCTCCGGATCCGCCGCCCTTCATATAATTTGCCACCGGACCTGCGCTGGCTTATTCCGGCACTACGGGCATTAACTTGTTGGAAAAAAGGTTCGCAGGCGTTAGGAGAAATGACAAAAGTTGGGTTCCAGTATTTCCTGGATACACCGTTGCACCGTCTTGCCTCATCTAAGGTCAACTAAAGTGATTTAGCACCAAACCATAACTCCTACAAGATGGTGCACCTGATGTTCGACTGAAGTCATATGTCTTTCTCCGCAACCGACGCCCTTTCCTTCTTCTAGATCTCCAGACCTTTCGCCCAAGTACAGCTAGCCAGACGACTGGATGAATGTATATGATATGCAGGTGTGGGTCAACACAGTGTTACTGAAATCTAGTGATACCTCAAATGTTCACCCTTCAACATTTAATCACGACTTAATCTTGCTTATGCCTAACTCGACAAAATTTCATTCAAATAAAATCATTTACACTGTGTGTTTTATTTACTTTGTCATTAGTATAGTTTATTCGCAGCAATTTTTCGAGAATGATACAGTTTATCCTTGCTTCTTTACTAGTCTGTTGTATAAAATTTTATTCAGCGTAGCCGAATAACACCTCACGGATTTTGGCCTCCTCAACTATGTTCTTCCATCTTACACTGCTACAAGCTCCCACTCTGGCACCTCCTACATTTGCAAGTGCCTGGTCACATTGTCTTTCCACGTTTGCCTTGGACGACCTCGTGTTTTCGATGAATTCAATTGTTTCAAAGCACTGCGCTACTGTCCGCGTGGAAAGTCCCCAGAAAAGTCTGCTACACTTGTAATCTAAGGTTGATTCGCCAATTCTCTCAGTGTGTTCGTAGCATACAACACCTCCCCCGATACTGAAAAGAATTTTCTTTCTAATGAATTCTTCTGCCTCATCATTAAAGAATAGAGTAGCTTAAAATATGCGATAGGAAAGAAGCGCCCTTTAAACACTTAACTACGTATTATGCTAAGAAGTACTTTTCTCCGCATGACCTTCTCACTCTATACAAGGAACAGATAAGACCTAGCCTAGAGTATTGCTCACACGTTCGGGGTGCTGCCGCCCCGAATACATTATTTATGCTAGATGCTGTCCAGAGGAGGGTTGTCCGACTGATCGACGACTCTTCTCTAACAGCCAGTCTCGGGACCATTTCGCACCGGCGAGCCGACGGCAATCTAGCTCTTTTCTACCGCTACCTCAGTGGGTTTTGCTCCTCAGAGCTCTCTTCCATGATGCCGCCACGCGATGTGCCTGCCAGGCAGGTCCGCCTGACTTTGGCCTCTCATCCTAACCGTGGCGAACTTCGTACATCCAGAACTGGAGGATACGACCGCTCCTTTGTCCCGAGGGAGTCGAGATTGTGGAACAATCTACAAGAGGACGCTTTTCCTAGTTCTACTAACCTTAGGCAGTTCAAAAATCGGATTAACAAAATTTCTTTAGGATCATCATAGCAGCCGCGGTGTCCCGGTATTTAGGCTTCTACCTGCGCGGCTGCTTCGGTATATATAAAAAAATATCTAGTTTCTATCACCTTGATTATGTACATACTATAATTATAACTTATAGTATTTCGTCGTATTTTTATAAATCTCCTTATTGGCCTTTACAATTTTCACATTAGGAGATATGTCTTTTACAACTAAATATGGACCCGGAAAACAAGAATTTGTTTTATCTCCAGTTTCATTCTTAACTAAAATGTTATGCTGTTTATTATAATCTATAGAATTAGGTGTCTTGTCACTTTTATTTTATGTTTCGGTTTTACTGAATTCGTTTTAAAATTTTATTTTCAAATTAGTGTCAGTGTCCAGGTCTCACTGGTGTAATGGTGCTGTAGATTTTTAGTTTTGTATGTCAGGGAATAATCTTAGACCTTGTTAGTTTCGTTAAAGTAGCTGTCGCTCTTTACCGCCGAGAATACCGGATGTTTCAAATTCGACCCTCACCATTGAGTCCCTCTAATGGGGACAAAGTTGCGTATATAGGTAACTAACAAAATGCCGCTTAGAAAGCACTTCCGACGACACACGTAAAAAGATTTTTCTAAAAATCGTTTTAATTTATTCCTGACATTTTATGTAGTGGGATTTCAAGATAAATTGCACATTAACTTTATCACTTTTTCTCCTCTACAAGGTGGCGTGATTAGAATTTCAATACGTCTCTTGGATTTTTGTAACGGTAAGTAGAGTTTTTAATTCTGATTCCAAATATGTCATACACTGACGCAAATATTAAAAAAAAACAGTATATTCTAAGTAGGTCTTGTCTAGGTCAGATCAGTCATCTGTTTCGCATACCAGATTTTTCTCAAAATCATTTTTTCCTGACCTTATTTCAGATGAGAGTTCAAAATAAATTGCATGTTTTTATTGCCACTTATTCTTCTCTACAAGATGGAGTAGTGAAATTTTCAATTCGAGGTTTATTCCTTCGACTTCCATCATCGTTCTTTTTTATGATATGCATTAGTTTTTCTAAATATGTGTCTTTTTCTAATTAATGCTAAACACACTACTAGATTAGTACTACAAACTACAAAGATCTGCTTTTATCTCTTCTCAACATACCAAATGCACTTATTAAAATAGGTCAATGTTCACTTTAACTTGAATGAAGTGTCCTTACTCACTGATAAATATTGTGTATCACTGCTGTGCTATGCGGTTTGTCACTTTACAACAGCGGTTATGGTGCCCCGGTATTTAGGTTTGTGACTACGTGGCCGCTTCAGTATAAAAAAAAGTTTTGTTTCTTCATATGGACACTATACTGGAATGTTTTGTACGTTTAAATAGACTTTTCAGTCCTAAATTCAGTGATGTAATTGCTTTGTTGGCCATGCATTTGTTGTTGGAACGAAAATTATAAAGAAATAAAAATGTATGGCGAAACCTGAACACAAAATCAAATTTTTATTAATGGTAATAACAATAAGAATCATAAATAATCAGAAATAAATCATAGCAGATATTCAAAATGCCCCCTTATTTGTAGGCAAAGCCTTGCTCTTTTTTGAACATTTTTCGCTGTTCGATTTATTTCTCTTCTTTCCAGTCTTCCAAACCCTGTTAGATACTACGTTCAACTTGAGGTCTGGTCTGGAATACATTTGTTTCGTATCTATCTGATAATTTCAAGAGCTAGCTAGGAACTACTGTTTTCCTGGAATAACTAAGGTTTGGCAATGTCAATGTGACATATTATACACTTTTGAAATCATAATTGAAAACTCTATTCAGCTGCGCAAAAACGAATCTGCATCTATAAGGAAAAATAAAGTTAAAGTGAAGTCGAAACGTCACATTGAAATTCTAATTATGTCATCTTGTAGATGAGAAAATGTTGCAGTTTATTTAAAAAGTCCACTAGAAATAAATTCAGAAAAAATAAAGCTATTTTGGGAAAATCCGTTTTTTATGTTTCTCTCCGGAAGTACTTTGAATTTCGAAACTTTCTAAGCGGCATTTAAGCGACTTCGTATCTTTTACCGTTTCCGAGATCCCAATGGTGAGGATCGAATTTGAAACACACTGTATACCTGCACTAATTTCTGTTTGCCTTTCATTTTTGTCGGTAAGATATACAGGGTGACTTCAAAGTTGAGTCATTTATTTTAACAGTGAGTAGATCTCATCAAAAGAAATGTTTTTTTCCTTTAACATTTTTCTGGTAAAATTAAAGTAACAAAGTTATAGCCCTTTAGAAGTTTGAGTACCGCCCTGTCTCAATAATAATATTATGTGCTCGTGTTTGGCAACAACGGATATAATCCGCCTTATCGGTTCATCGCATCGGAAACAAAAAAGCGAAAGAATTTGAAACGCTTATTCACAATTTTATTCAGTTGTATTCAGTCAATGTGTCAGTCGGTAACGCGTGAGTGAATAGTGGTGTTTGTTGCGTGGCTCAAACGAAATAAAAAATGGCACATGTTTACGAAAATGCTGAACTTGTGGACATGATTCTTATTTACGGAGGGGGGGGAGTCTTTACAAAATGCTGCCGCGGCATCACGGATTTATGCGGATCGGTTTCCCAATCGAGTGCAACCAACCCCTCGTGCCTTTGTTAATGTAGTACAAAGGGCTCGTGAATCAGGTGACTTAAGACCTCACATGGGAGAGCATGCCGGTGCTCCAAGACCGCACGATCAAATACAGGTCCGCACTGAAATACTTGACGGGAGGATACTTTATAAAACAAGGTAACATTTTTTTTTATTTTTTTTTATTTTTACACACATATTTTGGTTTATCTTCCTTCTACAATTATTATCTGAAAATTAATGACTCAACTTCAAAGTCACCCTGTATAATAACTTTCTCCTAGTTGTTAATTAGCTGATGCATAAAACTTAGATATTCTGTTTCCGCCAAATGAGTCAGTCAGTAGAATTCAGTTTAAGATCGAATGGATAAAACGTGTCGGCTTGTTGACCTTCACTCAAACTACCAGTACCCAACGGAAATTTAATTATTTTTACTTACTATTTCAGAAACTCTAATGGATTTTAAAGTCACCGAAACCTCGTATTTTTAACAAATTGAGCGAATCCCAAGAATTTATAACTTAAAATGATACCACAGGACAGGCATCGAAAACTGAAAAGACCCATGACCCTGACCGCGATCTTCACGGGTAACGGAGGGTGTCCAGAAAGTAGGGAATCGATGAAATGTCGCGAAAAATAATGTTGTGTAATAAAGTTTTAAGGTTTGAAAAGATTTATCTAATGGTGACCTAAAACGTGACCTTGTTTATGATACCATACACAAAAAGGGCAAAAAACTTTATATCCAAGTACGCCCATGGCCATGACTATGACCATCAAGGTTATTTTAAGATCAAAGGAATTTCCAACGGGAAACATCTATTTTCAATGTCTGAAATAAACATAACCATGGCCTTCAAAATAAGATAAATTATCAAGTAAACTCCTTAGCTTATGTTGAGGGTATACAAAATGGCGTCAAGTGGGTTAATTCTGCGTTTTCCATGCAATGTCGTTATCCGTTCACAAAAGATTATGCTCAGAACAAACTAGACCCCTCTAAAAAAAAGCAAGTCGGTAGTGCATCTGGAAACGGTGCCTCTCCCCGATTAGATGTAGCAGTGCGGTAGAGCATAGGAAACACTATGCTGTAGCGCGCCAGAAATACCTACGTGTAATACCATACCAAGTGCTAATGTACGGAGAAATCTTTGATGTGGGAAACATGTCTAACCTGTGCGTAGGATTACAAATGTTTGGGAGCTTATAAATATATTAACATCAAAAAACTGAAATAACCCCTGTCCACCCACCTAAAAGCCTCCCCAAGTTTTTTCTCTTTCATTTTTTTTTTCAAAAATGATCAGGATCCTCTGAAACGTCAACAAACGAAGTTTGAGCGATTTTTATTCTTTTTCGTTTTTGGAATTTTTAAAATAATTAAATGAAAATGTTGGATAAGAAATGTTCATTGCCACAGTACCAATTGCAGTACTTTGAATATTGCAGTTCTTTCTCCGAAAAAAGTCTCCATCACAGTAATGCAAAGTGAATAACCTGTGCTTTATATTACGTCATATCGGAGGAGGAATGAAGTGTATTTTATAAAATACTAATACATTTTCTATAAACTTTGTTTCTTGAGGAATTTTTGTCAGATCACTCGCTTTGGAGATATTTAGGTTTGAATATTTGAGGTAAAATCCTAAAATATTTTTATGAAAAGTTTAGCCTCCCCTATTCTGAAAACACCATGAAGATTAATATTGGAAACACTATGTGGCATGTGAAGAAAGCTATGGCACCTCATTACAACATTTGTTGAATAATATGCGTGTCTCATCCTCAATCAGTAACGTAGAAACTTACCATTCATCAAACCTTGTCTATGCATGTCCCTGGTTTTGTTTGGGCCGGGAAACTCGGTGTATTTATTGCTTAAGATGTGCTCACTGAACGTCTAAAACCTTAACTCAGTACCGTTACCCGCTTTCGTAAATAAAACTTTATCACCCTGTGATGAATCTTGAGACCCATATTTATAGGGACTTTTTTTTGTTATTTTTAAGTGTACCCTGAAAACATTGGGTCGCCTCTTTGAGACACTCTGTATAAGTGTGAATGTCTGTCAGCATCACGACTGAACTCATACTGAAGAGACGTAAGAATTTGTACACTTGCTGAATGAAACCCGAAGAAAGTTATAGAAATGGTTTTATCCGCGAAAATACACAGGATGTTCCAAAAGTATGGATATATCAAAATATCTCGAAAACTATGTTCCCTAGAGAAAAATGTCGTAGAACAGAGTTGTAAGGTTTAGAAAGAGTCATCCACTGTTGATTTTGAATGAGACCTTGGCTATGACCTTCAAGTTCATTTGACGGTCAAGGCAGTTTTCTTGAAGCAAGTTCCTGTTTTTGACGCCGGAAATGTAAAGAGCGTGAACTTCTACTTTAAATTATATCGTTGCCCATAGAATTCACCATGATCTCATGGGTATTTGGAAGTGTCCGGAAAATACAGATAGGACAAGATATTTCAAAAAACGTTCTATGAAGAAAATAGTTTTGTAGCAAAGTAGTCAGGTTTGAAAGGGTTCTTCTGATTGTGTCCTTGAGCGTGACCTTGATTGGCTCATTTGAAGGTCAATGCATCAAACTTCTTTGACACCGGATATGAGAAGAGCAAGAAACTATTTTTAGTACTGGAAATGTAAATAGCGGGAAATTTGACGTATAAAGTATATCTTTGTCCATGACCCTAACCGCGATGTTCATGGGTAACTGAGGGTGTCCAGAAAGTAGGGAATCGATGAAATGTTTTGAAAAATAATGTTGTGTGATTAAGTTGTAAGGTCTGAAAATATTTATCTAATGGTGACCTAAAACGTGTCCTTGATTATGATACCAAACACAAAAAGGGCAAGAAACTTTATGTTCAAGTGTGCCCGTGACCTTGACTATGACCATCAAGGTTATTTGGTGATTAAGTGATTTTTTTAACGAAAAAATCCATTTATCATTCCTGAAATGGAAATTTAGAACAATTTTAAGTACCAAGTAAATCCTTGCCAATGAATCGGACCATTTCCTTCTGGGTCATTTTAAGATCAGACAAATGTTAGCTCCTCACTTTTTGTAGAGGATATAAAAAAGCGAAACACTGAAAATAATCTATCCTAAGTACTACTTTTTGTACAATAATAAAGTGTTTAATTTGTGTATATCTCCGAGTTTATTATCCGTTTATTATATTTCATCAAAATAAAGAAATATCAGAAAATACCCCGTTATATGAAATGCATGCAAATTATTTTTGATAACGATAAGCAGTTGCAGGTGCTTTTGTGATGAATGTTTGCCTTGTTAAAATATCTACGACTTGCCTGCTACTACGCCTAATGAAAGTAAATAGTGTTAATGTTTTTCAAAATATCTTAATCTTAATTTTCAGTAACAGTATTTTCCTACCAACCTAATATTTACTACTTAAATAGTCATTACCATTTTTATCCATATCATAGTGAATAAACAGTAATAAAAACATAAAAGAAACAAAGTGCCATTATAAACTATGCATTAAAAATACTGACGGAAACATATCTTTACAAGTAGGATTTTCCATTGAGATATCAAAGTGCTATTTTAATAAATACCTCACGTCAATCTTTGCATTGAAGATTTGGCTACCCCAAGCAACATATACCTCTCATCGTTATTTTTTTCACTTCATAAGGTGATTTAACTCCTTAAGTACTTTCACTGGAGATTGGAGGTAAGTGTTCTTTGAATATTTATGCAACTGGAATTGCACAAGTTACTCTTCATTTTGATTTGGCCGAATTTTCCAATTGACACTTCAACCACAGCTCTTAAACATTCAGAAACGTTGTCGCTTTAATATAATGAAAATGTATTCTTGAAGAATCTAAAACTTTCATATTTAGGTTACATCGATTTGTGCAGCAGAAAAATCTAGAGAAAATGAAGCAACCACTTCTTTGGACAGCCGTAGCGCTCTCTATGGTCTTTTGGGTTCATTCAAAGGGCATAGCCCAATATGAACTTGAAGATGGCAGCTGTTCTGAAGCGGTTATAGGAGATTTGGTACTGCTTCAATACTCTTCCAGACGTTCGATACCAGTTCAAGAACGACAATCAAAGGTGTGTATTGGTTAGCCCTTTGCGGCCAGGTTTATCTTTTTATTATGTATAAAATCGTTCATATTATATTATAGATATATGTTTTGAGTTACGGATAGTGAATATAAAATGACCCCTCCCTCATATACCATTCAGCATGTTTCATCACCAGCCGATCATCACAAGTAGTATAGATGGCAACACTGGCTCAAGTGAAGATTTGTGACCTGAAACTTGATCTTCTATTCCTCGATTTACCAAATCAGTCAGCATTCCGAACAGTAACGTCACTGAATAAGTTATCCTCGCCAGGTAACACTAAGCGTATCCTGCCATTTATACTCCCTGTGATATCTCAGTTGTTGTCATCTCCTAAAGTCTAAGGAAAAAGTGCTTCTCAACATCTTTGATGTCAATTTCCCCCCAGTGCCTGAGTGGCGTCAATTCAAAGGGTTCCCTATATTATGCGGGAAGTAACCTCCAAGCATAAGACAGTAGGGCGGATGGACAAGAACAAAGCTTCTGACTTGGACTTGATTCCTGCTGTTGTACTGAAGAGATGTGCAGCGGTGCCTGCTCCAGTTGTTTAACGTCTCTTCCAGATATCTTACCAATCCGGTACTTTCTCAGAAAACTGAATATTTGCTCATGTCCAGATCGTCTCAAAAAATCATCTAAGACTGACCTTTAATAACTACAGATCTATATCTCCGTTTTCTGTTACCAGTAAGGAGATGGAGAGGTAGATAAATCTTCTCTAGTATTCCGAACATCACGGCTTGATTAGTGACAGGCAGTATGGTTTTCGGCACCAGCGATCAAGGAAAGATCTTCACGCAACTGCGGAGTAAACTCATCCACTCATTGCAAGGCTCATGTCGTTGCCCTTGATTTCACGAAAGCGTTCGATCAGCTGTGACATGGCTGACTTCCTCTTTGGCCATATACCAACATAGAACATATTCATCGAATTTGACGGGTTCTTCTTGTCATCTCATAATGTCAACGCAGGTATTTCCATAGGATCGGTCTTGGCTCCGTCATTGTTCCTCTTACATATCAACAACCTCCTTCCCTGTTCGATCCACAGCTTTGCTGATTACTCTACATGCAAGAACAGAGTAACAAGTCGATATCTGCCAGGGATCTGGAGAAAAGAAGACTAGCAGCAACTTCCTCTCTGACCTGGAGGTTATCATTGCTTGAGGACGCAACAATCTCGTACAGTGTAATGGTTCCAAAATACAGCACTGTACATTAATTACATTATTGTTACTTCGGCTGATAGGAGTCCAGATGACCGAGGACTTGATCTCACTCTTCTCTAACGGATGGTCTTGGGACCCTTTCGCACCGACGCGACGGGCCATCGGCTATCTAACTTTCTAACGGGGTTTGCTCATCTATGATGCTGCTCCGCGCCAGACAAACCCGCCAGACTTCAGCCTCCCATCCTAACCATGTCAATATTCGTACATCCACAACTGGCCGATACGACCGCTCCTACGTCCGCGAGATTGGGGAACAATCTTCCTGAGGAGGCTTTTCCCAGTTCTATTAACTTTAGACAGTTCAAAAGTCGGATTAACAAGGTGTTTTTAACCTCTTCGTAGCAAACTATGTTGAATGTTATATTTCTTTACTAACCAGAGCTTTATTTCAATATTTAGAAGACATAAAATCAATCAGTAACCATTAACCAGTCTTATCCCGATCATATTTTGGTATTTATTTATGACAAAAAAAGTAATAACAATGTGAAACCTTTTCAGCTTTTTAGAGACTTTACTTACTAAGACAAAAAAACGAACAAAGTGTAGCTCTCTTTCTGAAAAATTAAACGAACTTAAACATAATTTTTGCTTTACCTCCAACAAAACGATTAAAACTAAATAACTGCCTTCTTTTTGTTGTTTGAATAATAGGATATGTACTTCCTTTATCAAAAATAAAAAAATAGTAAAAATCTAAAACCAACCAATTGTATTTGGCTTTTCCACGTACCTTGTTCAAAATGTGGGCTTCCTTAGAAATCAAATCGTGAATCTGCTTCACACTGCAGGCACTGTGCGATTATCCGAGTACCATGTAGACCAAAAAGCCTACCGAAAGGCCAGACACACAAAAATTTGGCAGTGCCGAAAAAGCTAAAGCCGGACGGATGGCAACCCTATTCCTGGAGGACATGCCCTTTCCAGCAAACTGGCGAGCACTTACACCGAGATAAAAATGAATTATGATGAATTATTATTATTATTATTATTATTATTATGTCTTTATTGAGCATTGTTATATACAACGCAGAAATCTGCAACAGGGCGAAGTCTAGCCTAAGCTACTCTACTTAACCCTAAATAAAAGCTAACAAGGAAAAAAGCCACAGATAATACATAAAATGCAATCATCAGAAGTGATCAAATATAAAATAGCATAGAAAATATGAGATAATTTGAATGAAAATAAACAAAAGCCTAAGACACAAAACCGCAAAGCGAAGAGTATATAATCAAAAACTATTGAACTATCCATTACATTGACCATTATGATGCTAGCTTCAAATAACCGAGCAGCTAAAACGTCTCAATATTTAATGGAAGTCAGCAAAACAACCTTTGTTGTGCTGGATATATAAATCCCACATTGCAAGTTGAAGCTTTCCATATGGTGTATACTAATACAAATATATCTGCTGTACATACCATTTTGTTGCCGATTGCGGATAAGCAGCCTAAATCGTAGGCAACCAGTGATTATCGCTGCAACGTCAGAATCCGAAATCAGGAACCATGTAATTGAATTGGTGGTCATTCCAGAATACCAGTAGGCCTCAAAGGGTTGAGTTCAAAATCAGGGATGTGGTTACAACGAAGGGTTGTCCAACAAAAAATTGAATTAAAAAATTAGATTTTATGCTCAGACTGCGCCGGCATTTTTTCGAGACTTTTATGCTTCATTTTCAATTTAGCATTGAAAACTATGAAAATTCCAACGTCTTTGGAGGAAACAAAAATATTCCATACTTTCAAAAGTGGAGATGATCCTGATATATCCAACTACAGGCCAATGCCTATAGCCTAAATATTTACCAAAGTCTTTGAGATCTCAATTTATGAGCACATTTGGCATGCGGTTCATACCTCGATTAGTTCGTTTCAGCATGGCTTTGTGAGGGGTAGGTCGACTATTATCAGCCTTTCAGTTATGATGCACTATATCTCCGAATATATGGACAATCAGCCAGGTTGATGCACACCGTTTTTTCGAAGGCACTTGACAAAATAGGTCATTGCATTTTTTAAGAAACTTGCCCTCTTTTGGATTTCATGTAGTTTTTTGTCATTTATGCAGTCTTATTTAAATGAATTGATTCCAGTATGTTTATTATAGTGGTTTTAGATCTGTAAAGTTTGTGGCTTTATCTAGTGTTCCTCTGGGTTTCACTCTAGGCACTTTGTTGCTCTTTCTTCAGATAAACGATATTTCGCTAAAATTTTTGTTTGTTCTATGCTGATGATGAAATTGCAAATTTTTCATCAGTGCTGAAGCTTTAAAGATAGTATATTTCGCGTTTATTCAGGTTTGGTTAGAGTACTGTTCATTTGTTGGAAACCTTATTATATATAACAAAAGCAGATGCTAGAGATGCTGCAACTTCGTTTCCTCAAATATTTATATTTAAATGTTGAGAGGCATCAGTACTAATAAGTTCAACATGGATTCCTTAGATTTGAGAAGAATACAAAATCCTGTGTCAATTCTTTGCAAGATCCTTCATTATTACATTCCATATTTGAAGTTGATTTTAATGTTGCTTTAGATAAGTTGCGCTCATCTGCTTGTTTCAGATTGAGGAGGTAGAATACGAACAGGGATCAATTCGCCGTTGCATCTTGCTGTCAAAAATGTGATTACACACATTTTGATATACGTGTTGTTTCTTTAAGTGCTATTCTATCTTCTTTCCCTGAATCTAATTGTACATATCCTGTCTTGCGTATTGCGATGATTTGTACTTGTGTGTATATTATTTTCATTTCATATGTTTGTTTCCTTTTCTTCTCAAATGTTCATTTACCGAAAGCTCTCGCAATTTTTCTTTGGTTATTTACCTTTGGATTGGTAATACATTTGGCATTTTTTTCTGTATTTATGTTGTCTAGTAATTAGAACTCTGTCTTGTTTGTCAATAACTCCTTTGTTTGTCATTGGTACGGAAGCTCCATAAAATATTGTCCATTATATAGGTGATTTTCCAAATAGAATGCCTCATATTTTATTGCATATTTGGATAAATCAATAAAAAAATTGATATAACATACTATGGGGTTTTGGTAATTAGCTACTGAGATATAAGGTGTTTTGTCTAGAAAAACCCCCCACTTCGGCAACCCCTCAGTTCGCCATTTTGAAATTTGGAGTGTTGAATTTTGTATAAAAAAAAACTTACACACCTCAGCTTTTATCTTATTTGTTACTTTTTCGAATTTTTATTTTTACTCATACAGGGTGGTCAAAAACGCAAACTGTAGTTTTTCTCAAAAATTTCAAATGCATCATCCTGTATATTTGTGCAAGTTTGGATTCAATTTTTTATAGGCTTTTTTTTGATACTAGAGGCATAAGGGTTTTTACGGCTATTTTTTCGGTTATTAGCACGTCTTTTATGGAACGGCCAGAAACTGATATAACATATGCAGAACTTCTGTCCAAAGGATTATTCACAAGCATAGGTACCATCCATATCACCTATGCTTGCAGCAAGGCCTTCGTCCTCAGGATTTCGCAGCTCAAATGGAGTTTAGTAGAATAATGCTAAATAAAGTGAGTGAGAACACTATTTTCCTGGATAAGGTTCTTTTTAATGATGAGGCAACTTTTAACAGCATAGGTATTGTCAACGGGCATAACATGCACTATTATGCGACGGAACCCTTACTGGGTTAGGCAAATAGATTTCCAAAATAAATGGAGCTTGAATGTTTGGGGAGGAGTTATTGGCAGACAAGTTATCGGGCCTTTCTTTTTTCGACAACAGATTATCAGTTACCGAATACTTGAATTTTTTGATCGAGCATTTGCCTTTGCTTTTGGAGGATGTCAACCTGCAAACTCGGATGCATATGTACTTCCAACATGACGGCGCACCTGTGCATTATCATAATCGTGTGCGTAAATATTTGGACACCTGGAGTAACAATCGTTGACACCGATGGACTTCTTTCTATGGGGCTACGTTAAGCAAGAGGTTTATAGATATCCACCATCTTCCCCGGAAAATATGAAGGAAAGGATTAAGGATGCTTTTCTGAACATAAGGGAACACATGCTGAGGGATGTGCAGCGGTCATTTAGCCAAAGACTACGGCTGTGTATTCAACATGGTAGAGATATTTTATTATTTTATAGTTGTTTTTCTCTATTACTCTACGCTTAGTGGCAATGTGGAACTAACCCACTGTTTGTCTTTTGTTTCCATGGATGATGTGATTTTATCCTTAATTTTGGTGCATTAATAACTCAAAATCTAGTGGTTTTATCTGAATCAAACGTTATACAAAAAAAAGTTTATAAAAATTGAATCCAAACTTGCACAGCTTTAGATTTTGTATTTCTTTTCACAGTAGGGGGGTTAACTGGAGTAGTTTTAGCAAATTTTTCTAATATTATTCTCCATGACATATTATGTTGTTGCCCACATTCATTATGTACTTTCCTTTGTGTACGTTTTTTACAAAATTCACCACTCCAAATTTCAAAATGGCGGACTGAGGGGTTCCCGAAGTGGGGAGTTTTTCTAGACAAAACACCTTATATCTCAGAAGCTAATTACCAAAACCCCATAGTATGTTATATAAATTTTCATCTTTTGAATTGGTTTATCCAAATATGCAATAAAATATGAGGCATTCTATTTGGAAAATCACAGCTTTGATATGTACGTCACAATTGGGACACCCTGTATAATTGCCGATATTTTAGAAATGTGTCCTCAAATGTCATGTATAACATCCCATAAATAGATTTTCCAAAACTGTATTTGTTTATGAGTAATATTCCCTCCACACATGGATGGGCCACCCATATATTCATACATACGTTATATATATATATATATATATAAAGAGTGAATTATCATGCGGAGAAAGGTATATAACAAAAATAGGAAAATAATGGGCAAAATCCGCAAAAAGTGGATTTGAGCAGAATAGGATAGGTAACCCGAGCGATACGTATTTCTGCTGGTTGGCTTCATCAGGCCCGAAATGAATGCACATATGCAACTACAAAAGTAGAGACACATGCCCATACATCCGGATACGGGTGTAACCTGAGGAAACAAAGATGGAGAGGATATATATATATATATATATATTCTGATCAAATCCACTTTTTGCGGATTTTGCCCATTATTTTCCTATTTTTGTTATATACCTTTCTCCGCATGATAATTCTCTCTTTGTAGATCCTTTGGGCTTGAAGTACCACAGCAAGTGGCTATAACCGGCCGCGTAGTTGTGGTTATTTGTCGCCTTGAAAATTCTAGATCTTCTAGCCATTTGATACTACAATGTGTAGGTTGGCTCTTGTTGTGGACTTCGTGTGTCTTTTTTTTCCTCTCCATCTTTGTTTCCTCAGGTTACACCCGTATCCGGATGTATGGGAATGTGTCTCTACTTTTGTAGTTGCATATGTGCATTCATTTCGGGCCTGATGAAGCCAACCAGCAGAAATACGTATCGCTCGGGTTACCTATCCTATTCTGCTCAAATCCACTTTTTGCGGATTTTGCCCATTATTTTCCTATTTTTGTTATATATATATATATATAACGAGCAAAAAGTACATTCAAAAATAACAAGAATTTTCTATGAAGATGGGTCTTAGAATGGATCATTACCCAACTACTGGGTGATGTAGATTTCTACGTATGTATGACTCTGAACAAAATATGAATATTTTTCAAATAAAGCTATGATGTACTACCCTACACACAGTTCTCAATATCAAATTTTAGTAACTCAACCATATTTTCAAAGTATAAAGGACTGAAATTATTCATTCGGATTTCAATTCAAATACTTGAACCAGTTTTTCTGCAACAGTAATAGTGTGACTAAAATGTCTCAATAAAGGCAATTCAAAAGTCTACGTCGTAGAAAATAATTTTCTTTTTTCTTCTATACAAGGGTCAATATTTCTTCATTTATAGGCTACTGGTGCAGCCAGAGCCAGGGAAAGTTTTGTATGTATAGGTCTTAGTGTTATTAGTCCATAAACTAATCGACTGTGTGGATTTAATATTTTTCGATTTGAAAATGTTATATTGTTATATTCATAAGAACTATTCATGATATTCTTGGATTTATTTTCTTACCTAGAAATGTGACCACTGTTTTCTGAATCACTAAAAGGCTGGTGCTTCTAAATTACGATCAACCGGTGCAGGTATTGCTGTTCTTTACTTACACTTATGAAAGGGGGTTAATATCAATCTTTTACTACTTCTCGTACTTTCATCCTAGATTCTATAATACTCTGTCGTATTTAAAAGTCGAATACAAGAAATAAACGCGACCCACTTTAATATACAGGAAGCTAGTATTTAATCATCAAAGTATTCTTATACTCTATAGATAAGTCTCAAATGGGACTATGTTCGATCTGCCCAAAAATGTTTGATGAAATGATGAAAGGTTCATGTAAAACTTTTTCACATCCCTTCTTTGAGATCGAAATCAAAGCAAATTAACTTGCTCTTGACCCCAACAACCATTATTGAGTTGCCGAACAAATAACGGGAGTTGAAAAAGTTTTTATCAACTTATCCTGCCTCGCCTAGCCAATCTGAGGAGTACATCGATACCTTTAATTAACCCTTTAGTACTATTATCACGTATGCAGTCTCATTACTGTGCGTCATTGACTTATTGCCGAAGAATAATACAATAATGTTCAGGAATACAAAAAAGGCAACGCTTTTGTTCTTGATTTATGCTTCTTCTATTAATGTAGGAAAAAATGGCAACATTTAAAAAATATCGTAGGTATCCGACCGAGATTTTGATCTTTGAGGGTACGGGGGTAAGATGCAAAGTTTTCAGCCCCACACTGAATGACTATGGTTTTCAGTAAAAAAACATTTTATATTTCAACATAATCCCTTTTGACCAATAGAATTGGTCCAACGTTTTTCCATCATTGGGATTCATCTACGACCTTCTCAACTCCGCCATCGGACCCGAAGCGCTTTCTTCAAATTTGGGACAGAAGAAAGCCTTACCAAATCAGGAGAAAAGGGGTGGTGGTTGATCTGATTGAAGGCGTGTTGCCTTTGTGAGCAGGCGCGTTGTCCTGAGTAAAAATATTTTTTCCAGTCAGGCCACGTCCCCCGAGTTTTAGCATCCAGTTGATCAAGGAGGTATTAATAGTATTTGCCCGTAATTGTTCTACCCTTCTTTAAGTAATAAATTAACAGAATCCCCATCACAATCCAAAACAGGCTGGCCAGAACGTTCCGGTAGGTGCAATGGACTTCTCTTTCTTTGTCGCTGGACCTATGGTTTCCACCTGCTGTTTTGTTACCGGCATTTAGTAGTGGTAGTCTCATGCCCAGCATATTCCAGTCAAGCATCGTCATGACAAGGGGCATTGCGGCCCCTTCTCTTATTAGGCGCTTTTTACCTTGCGCAATATCCAGCGAATGCCCGCATGTCAGGCATAAAGCTTAATCAACGTAGCTGCAATAGCCAAAATACTCGTAGAAACACTTGAGAAAGGTAACATTTGCTTTTGATCTGCATTGAGCAAATGCAGAGAACTTTCCACCTTATTCTGTAAGACGAAAAATGAGGTTTTCCTGGCGAGTGCTTTAACACCCTACTAATGTAGGACGCCTTTATGGCCTCCTTGATTTCCTTGTCTCTCCTTCAGAAAGACTGGGATGTTTTTAGATTTCTAGTATTCCGTGTCAGCGTCAGCGCTCTACTACTGTGAAGTTGTTTTCTTTTTGAATTGTAGGAAATTTTATGCTGATAAAACAAATGATTTAAATCAAAAGCATGAACAATTTGATTTAAATAGATATTTGTAACATAACCTCAAAATAGCGCACTGACACGGAAGAGTAGAAAGCTATGAAAATCAAGGAGGCCATAAAGGCGTCCTACAATAAATTGTAGGAATGACTGACGATAGGGATCTTAGTTCCATGTTTGCTTTTGATTATACAACAATAAATGACTAGTTTTCTATTTCCTTTTAGGTGGTTTGGTATGGCGATGAAACTTTATACTGTGTATTGGTTTTAAGTAAGCAAAAGTCGCATAGAAATTCCACTGTTGAAGTGCTAAAAGGTGGAGTGAATCACACTTTTGTGGAACTCCGGTTACACTCAGAACTTGGATTCGGTTTTCAATACTGGGTTAGAGGTTTCGGCAAGAAAGTACATCCATTGTAATTAACATCTGGCAAGTAATAACATAATATTATTCTGTAAAGGGTTGTTTTCTTATTGTTTCAACTGCAATACTTAAATTTTGAGGAGTATATACCTATGTTATTTTTACACCTACTGATAATAAACTAATTCCAACATTTCCGTAAAAAAGCTTTTATTTCGAGTATTGCCCCTTTACATTGTAGAATAGGTAGTTTAATTTTATGGTAAAATTTGATGATTTTATCACTCAAGGAACGACTGCATGTCGCTTTAAGACCTGGTTTTTAAATCGCAAGTTCAATTTCAAGTTATAAGTTATAACTCGGAAGTTGTCCTTTAAATTCATTTTCCATGTTTTGATGAACTAACTTGTAATTGCAAGGCTGCTTCTGCGTTTGAACTATCGTATTCTGTGTGTTTTGTGACGCTCGGTGTTTGTGTCTCTTGTCTTCCGTGACAACTCATGTCACTGTCAGGCAAAATATACCTATAGTTTAGGCCCGTATCGTCAGTCGTCCCTACAATTGTAGGGCGGCTTTATGGCCTCCTTGATTGTCATAGTTTTCTACTTCTCCGTATCCGAACTGTATTTTGAGGTTATGTCACAAACATCTATTTGCATCAAATTGTGCTTGCTTTTGAGTTATATCATGTTTTATCAGCCTGAAATTTCCTACAATTTAAAAAGAAAACATATCTTCACAATAGGAGAGCGCTGACGGTGACACGGGACAAGTGTAATCTAGACATTTTTGAAGGAAAGAAAGGAGTATGACAATCAAGGAGGCCATAAATGCGCCCTACAATTGTAGAGACCACTGACGATATGGGCCTTAGACATTGCGGTCTAACTGTAACTTTCTAGTTAATTAATAGATGGCCCTTTCGTTAAAAATAACTACCTTATTACTACTCGTTGAGATGTAATTTCCAGTTAGCAGTAAAATTACAGTTAACAAGCTATTGAAAAGCTAGGCCATAACGATATAAAGAACCATGGAATATATACTAAGTGACATATCAAATGCAACACCCAGAAGTATTTATTGAACTTTGATAAAAAAATTTTAATCATTTCCTATCAAGGAAGTATACGCTGATAAAATGTTTAAGGCATTTCGAGCCGTACTTTTTTGTAAAGGCTTTTTTTTTGTCGTAGCAGGATCCGAACTATATAAAGATGTTTACTTAATATCCAGTGATTTTTATGTGTTGGTCTCGTTTGTTTCATTGCTGTTTCATTGCATTATCATGCCTAGAGATCGCAGATGCGTTAATCTCACTCAACTTTCCCAGTTTGAGAGGTGTCGGATAATCGAGTTACGTGAAGACGGATTTTCTTTTAGAGAAATCGCTAGTGTAATGAGATGTTATCGAGCGTGGTTCCAACAAGGCCGAAATGGACGTGTTGGAGGTACTGGACGTCAAAGACAGCCTACAGAGCAACAGAATCGTTATTTGAGGCAACTAGCACTTAGAGATCGATTTTCCACAACAAGGGCAGTTGCAAACCAGTGGTTTGATGTTGTTGGAAGGGCAATAACAGTGAGGACAGCTTATCGCCAAATAAGGTCTTTTCGACTGTTTTCATACCGTCCCATCTAGTACTACCGCTGACCCCACAGCATCGTCGGCAACGATTGGTATGGAGTAGGGAGAAACTTGAATGGAATATGGAATCGAACTCAGTCGTGTTCAGCGATGAGTCCAGATTCGTTTGGGCACACATGATGGCCGTGAAAAAGTAAGGAGGAGACATGGTGAAAGACGTTACGTCCAATATTTCATCGAATGGCGTATTCATCGTACTGTGGATGTTATGGTATGGAGTGCAATTGCTTACGGCAGCAGGTCACGATTAGCAGGCAGCATGACTGCCCAGCATTGTATCCATAAAGTTTTACAACCGCGTCTGCCTTCCTTTATGGAAACATTGTAAAATATAATTTTTCAGCAGGCCAATACACGACCTCATGTCGTACGTGTTAGACTTTTTAGAAGCGTCCGGAGAAATTTGCTTCGATCTCCAGACCTTTCCCCCATCGAACATATATGGGAAATAATGGGAAGAAGGTTGCCAAATTCACCGCACCCTCCACAAACATTGGAGGCTCTAAGAAACCAAATTCAGATGGCCTGTAATACAATACACCAAAAAGACATCTATCACCTAATCTAATCAATGCCGCGACGACTTACCGAGTTTGTAGCGAACAGAGGAGCTTTATTAACATTAAGGAGTGATATCTCAGCTATTTTGTGAAATTTCGAGTTAAAATTTCAATCTCTTTATGTTTATCAGTAGACCTAAAACTTGTGAAAGTATGCTAAAAATTACAGCACTCCTAGTCGGCGTTGCATTTTCTATGTCATTTAGTACTTATATTATTTTGCCGCGAGTCACAAACTTGTTTGGCAAATGTCAACAGCTGCCAGAATTTGGAATCATTTCCCAGGGAGTATTCTGCTGCGCTCAGAATTAATCCCTTAATGGGTCGACGATGAATCTCTTATGTTTTGGAGCTCAAGGATATAAGAATCACTCGCCTCAAGACAATGAAAATCTGTTCAACTAATGAATAACACCTCCTTAGCAGACCAGACCTCTAGCTTTGCTCCTCCATGATGCCGCAATATTCTAGGTTGTCTAGATGAACACACTGGACTTTTGCTTGTATATTTTTTATACCGAAGTAGCCGCGTACGCTGAAGCCTAAATACCGGATCACCTTGTCTGCTATAAGAGAGAGAAAGCCAGATCGGCGGCAGCTTGTCGGTACGAAGGGAGTCTTCGATCACTCGGGCAGCCCTCCTCTGAAGAGCAGCGAACATGGATAATGTAGTCGGGGCGGCACCACCCCAAAGATGTGAGCAGGAATCGAGGCTAGGTCATATCCGAGCCTTGTGCAGAGTAAGGAAGGAGAAATGTACTTCTTAGCCATATACAAGATGCCCCTATATTTTACCCAGCATCTGCTGCCATTGACGATCTGTGTTCGTTCGGTGACCTTGTTTGACTGAACTAGTGACATGTGTTTTTAGAAAAACCTAGATTTTGAATATTCGAACTTAAGATACGGTCGCCATACGCCTCTCAACTCAACTACTCATTTAAACTAAGAATATAGCTTTCGTTTGTCAGACCACAGACAGCCAACCGTGAACAGCTGTTTAAATACAGACAATTATCTCCCCTATGATTCCTAGTAGCGCTGTTAACAGCGCTCCTGGCGATTGTAACCCGTAACAAACGAAACGAAAACGACGGTTGTTTACAGGATCCTCACCACTGACTCTTGCATCCTCTGTTATCCGCGGGTTGCATTATATTTATAAACAAATGTTTACAGGGTGTTTTTAATTGTGGCAACTTAAAATTATTCGTTATAAGAATTATTCTTTAAAACAAGCAGTTACCAAGTTCTCAACCACTTTTATTCTATAAAATAACATACAAGATATATTAAGAAGAATGTAAGTAAATACACGACATTTAAAAAATGTCGTCAAATGGGTTGATAGGTACCTATACATACCTGTACATTCTGTTACGACCCACATAATGCCGTCATCAAACTATGTTCGCCTTTGATTCCAAGTCACTTTTCAATTCCATTTTTTGTAATATTTTCAAAAGTATGATAGAATAGATTGATACAAAATAGTCGCTCGAAGATATTTAATTCAGTTATATTTGAAATATAAAAGCAACATTCTTGACGCTATTATTTAACGTAGTGGAAACCAACCAAAAGCAAGACAATTTTTTTCAAACTAGTCACACATTTTGGCGCTTTAAAAAAAGTAGCTAGTTCATTTGTACACAAATGCATTTTATAAAATATCTATTGGATATAAATGTATTAAATAAAATACAAGAAAGGAACCAAATTTGAGACAAGCACCTAATTTGAGACAGTGGTGTAACTTTGTATATTTGTAGCACCATCTTCTAGTAATACCAAAAAGTTGTCAACTAAGACGCAGTAGTATCCTACATGTGTTTACAGTTTAGTTTTGCACACGGTTTGCTGTGACGTCACAACTTGTTACTTCTTGAGAGTTAAAAATATTTTTAATAGTGCAAGAAAAGTGATTACTAAAATTAAGGTAAGTTATTTAGAACAATTGTCTGATATAAATTTAGTAGTTTATAAATACCTTATTTATTTTCTTGAGCAATATTGTGATTTTATTAGGTATATAACATAAATATGCTTGTGTAAACTTTTTAACAGAAAATTCCTAATTTGAGATACCCAAGTTTTCCTAATTTGAGACTATCTCAAATTAGGGCCCTGTATCAAGATGCAGATGCTTGGAAACACAAGAGTAAGGAGATGGATTATTTAAAAGTCTCTCCAGTTCAAGTTCAAAATGCAGCGGAAGCCTTAAGTTGGATGATTCATCTTCAGACGAAAGCAACATGAAAGCGATGCTGAATGTTTATTTTGTACGGGTCGATTTTCCGAAGATAAGAAGGGTGAAAATGGGCAAAATACAGCCATTGTAGTAGATGGGCACATAAAGATTGTGAAGAGATTACCAATAAAATTTTCATTTGCACTTTCTGCAAAAGAAAGAAATTTTTTGAATAGTATCTCAAATTAGAGAATCAGCTGTAAATTAACAAAAATATTTACTTTTTTTAAAATATACTTTTTGTCTGTAAAAAAATACATTTAACATAATTTTTTTATTTTAGAGTATGCTGGGAGCATCAAATTGCAAGTTTATTTAAAAATATGCGCTCGTTTAAAACAACAAGTACTTTATTTTTCCTTTTCAAAAAAATTATCTCAAATTTGGTTCCTTTCCTCTATAGTCTCGTTTGATCCATACCACTCATGACATACTGCTTTATGAGCTACGGGCAATTACAATAATAGTTAATGAGTTCTGAGCAATGTTGATGTAAGGACGTTCGGATAAAAAATATTACCGACAGACTCGGACCAGGGCTGCGGGGATCGATCCTCATCCGTTCAGAGGGCTCGAAAAACATATCTTCTCAGGTCCGAAGAGGAGGTAGACAAGGACATAGCATGTCGGCTTCTTTTCATACTCTTATTGTGTACTAATTTTGATGACATATTCGGTGGGTTTTGAATTTCGCTGGTACGCCAGTATAGTTTTGTCTTTGAGTTCATGGGCCTAGGCATTCATTCCTTCAGCAGCACCGAATGCTCCCTTTTCAGGTCCCAGACAACTTCTAGGGTGTATGGCGTTTCTGGTTTCTCTCTCCTGTAAGTTGCATAGCCGATGCCTCCAGCCCGCTCCGATACCGTGGTCGTCTCCATACTGAGCGTTTTAACTGTAGCTCTAGACGGGCACACCCGCTGTGCTCTGCTAATTGCTTCTATTAGTCACTCAGGACTATTTTAAATTTAAATCAAATTACTTTTCGCTGACAGTGCGACTTTGACAATTTTTCTCTATTCTCTATTCGTCATCGTCCGTCAGAGCGGTCCGTGCTCTTGATTAAACTATTGTAGGTCTGCAGATCTTGTTGCCTAGATACCAGGAAGAAAGAAGGGAAAAGAAAGGAAGGTAGAAGAGCAAAGCGGAGGAGGAAGTGGGTCTGTCGGAGGGGTGCCTAGGCATTGTTAACTAGTATTCAGTAATTTTAGATTCATCTAAAAATTAAATGAGGAATCTTTAAGTGTGCAAAAATTATAATTTTGATTGTGCCTACAATTGCACGATTTAATATTGTTCACAGTGCGAGCCGCGCCCGCGGTCTTGTGTGCTTGCGAACTTGCTCGACTGTGTTGTCGTCTACTGACTCACGCAACAGAGGGTTGCTGTGCCATTCCGCTCCGCTTTACTATAACGTAACTGCGCTTTTGATTGATGTAGCCTCTCCCGAATATCGAGGTCTTTAAGAAGGGTCTCGTTGGATACATACCATGGCGCGTTTCGTGACAGTACGCAAGGTTTTGTTCTGCAGAACCTGCAGACTACGAATATGCGTATGAAATATCATGCCGCACATACATAAGTGATTGCTGGCCTAAGAATCGCCATGTATAGCAGAACTTTGTTAATCAAACTTAATTTTATAGCATAACATAGGGCAGAGTTGCCGAAACGTAATTTGGAATTTGGTTTTTAAGCTTCGATGTGTTTTGCCAAGTTTGCGCTTGTTTTCAAAATTATTTGAAAAAAATAAGGTAAGCTGATCCATCTGAGGATGAACTACAGAATGAACAAATCGTAACCTATAGTTAACGCTATGAAATAAAACTGTCAGTTGCCATTAGTCCACATAACACCTACTTTATAAAAAAAGTCAAATGAGTGACTTTGAAGGTATAAAATCTTATCTAGTTAGTATGGAGTACAACCACAGAGTGGCGCTGATGCTGGATTTTCCCGTCGTTCTTTTTGACAGTCTTATGTTCAATGCTTTAACGTTGATGGATTCGTAATTTTGAATTGAACGTTTAATTTTGTACGGCGCCGGAGTTTTTATTAGTTTTGTGTCGATGATACTGATATCTATTGAGCGTTAAAATGAATTTAGATTCACAAACTTAATCTTTGTAATGGAGGTTTATCGAAAGCGGGGATTTAAAAAGTGCATGGTCCATGGTTGTACATACATTTCTAAAATATGATGCCACTCTTTTTAACAAATGGATCGAGCAAGTGCGAAATCCAGTTTTGAACAATAAAAGTCACTAACAAATTTATAAAAGACATTTGGTGTGTTACATTTTTCAGAAAGTGATAAAGTGCCTGGGACCAACAGAGGTCTGAAGAAACAGCTTTCTGAACTTCAATCTTCAAGTAAGTATTAACTTTGATTACATATATAAACCAGGTAAATGCTCTATGTAATCAGCGAATAATGAGGATTAATGATTCGAACATTTTGGTGTCTTAAAAACTTTCACAGTATTTACGTCTTGCACAATTTTTGGAACAATTTACCTAGCATAAACATAATGAAATTCAATTCCTTTTTTAGGAATGGTTTCGGAACATGTTCAGAGTAGTCCTGAAACTTATGAAGGGAGTAGAGAAATTGCTAATTGTAAATTTACATGGTACATCGGTAATACCGATTATTATTAGATTACTAACAACTTGCATAACTGTTATTTTTATGAATTGTATTAAAAAATACACATTTTAAAAATAAAATCAGGTTGAGCCTTATTTTATTTAAAATATCTTGTATATAATTTGAATATTTAATTCAAATTTAGCTCCACAGTGTACGAGGGAAGTCCAAAGATGGCGCTAGGCATTTTATATTTTTAAAGGGTTCTATAATAGTCCGGATAGGTTCTATAAAAAGTTAGGAGTATATCCCAGGGATAGCGCTACAAACTTAGAGACAAACCTTAGCAATACAGATTACCTTATAAAGTAGGTGTTATGTGCATTAGTTTCCGGCCCAATAATCAGAGGTCACTCAACTTACTGAGACCAAGTCATGTTGATGAGTTGCTAAATAGAACGAAACAGCTAGCTGTCCATGGTTGGCCGTCTGTGGTCGGACAAACAGAACCTATATTACTAGTTTGTTCAATGGCGAGTAGACCGCATCTACTATAGCACTAGAATCGGTGGCATCTACCGACCACAGTGATGACCTGGCTGTTAAATGCAAACTGGGATACAGTGCCAACAGACAGCTTGCTGTCTTCCTCTCGCAGTGGTCGGCTTTAACTATTCCCTTATGTTTAACACAGCTGTTTTGTATGTTTTTTTTTAGATATAATTAAACACGAGATAAACTCATTTATATTTTATTCAGATAATCCAGTCACGAAAGATGTGTTGAGTTTTGAGTTACTTCCAAATATATGGATGTAATATGCGTATCCATATCCAGCATCGGACTTCAGGCTGATCTCAATGAAAGTATGGTTTACACCGCCTTTTACAATTTCTACGCTAGAATTATTATGCTTATGCTGGACGCTCTTTACCATTACGCAATATATTTTCTCGTCTCCGTGGTGCTCCACCTAGAAAAATAATTTGAAATTATAGTTAAATGCTTAACGAATATAGAAGATGATTCCTTATTGTGAAGACGTCCTACTTGTTTCGGTTTCGGTTAAATAGAGGTTTCTGTCTAACTTTCAGTTTTGGCTTGGCCGAAACATATCTTCGCGATTCGCGAACTCTCGAGTTACGTGCGGAAATTTGTATACTACATATTACGATTGCATTTTGTGAAGATGAGTGTTGGAAGCGAATACTTTCCGCACGCTGGTAGAAAAAATCTTATATCTAACGCTTGTAGAAAGTGATACTTTTCCGCACGCGACTCAGTTGCACGAACAAAGATATGCTCAGGTATAGGAGCTCTTCAGTCTCAAGACGACACGTTTCCGGCCAGCGGGAGGAGGGTTTCTCCCAAAATTTACACCACATAGCAACGATAGCTCGGAACCCGTGTTAGCAAAAAAGCTGTTTGTTTCAGCAATGGTTTGTACTGCTCTTTTTCTAGGTCTTGAGTGAGTGTCTCTTTGAAAACACAGTTTTCTTTTTCAGAAAAACAAAAGTTTTTTGAAAAAAAAAATGTCTAGAAAAAAAGTAACATCTCAATATAATCTACTATAAATGTTGAATATTGTCATACAATATATATATATATATATATATATATATATATATATATATATAATATTAGAGCTACACTGTTATTCGTTTACAAACCACGATTGCAGAAAAAATTGATAAAAAATGCATTTTTTTGATGAAAAAAATTACTAATATTGCTTATCAATCATCCCTTTATACAGCATGAAGGTATCAGACAAAAATAATTAAAAATACTCCTTCAAACAGGCTGTTGAATAAAAGGGACCTACGACCCTAAGGATTAAATACGAATGAGAAATGTCTGTTCGGTACAACTCTTTAGAATTGGGATAATATTGCAAAACTACTTTTAGGATGTTATCGACATAGAAAGTTTGGTAATTACCTATTTGTGTATCATGCGACAACTGATGTCACTGTCAAACAAAATAGGCTAAAGACTACGATTTAACTACAACTTTCTAGTTAGACACCGATGACACAGGAGTCTCTGGTCAAGTTACCTACCGCTTTAGGGCAAACTTTTCATTGAAAACCCATTTTTGAGGGTTAACTTTTGGTTAGCAGTAAAGTTACAGCTAACCGGCGATTGAAAAACTGAATCTTAAGTCATTAACTTCAAGACCTTCCCCAGTAGCCTCCTCGTTTTGGTTATCATGTCTATTGAAAACTCGTTCCGCATCAACGATCAAATCAATAATTGTTAACAAGATGTAACAAGGAACCTCTCAAAAGTGACAGGTATACGTTATTTAAGTCAGGTAGCACGACACCTGGTGGCGATTTCGCGAAACCACGTATGGGCCATTATTTTTGTTTACAGCTATTTCCTGATTAATATTTTGCTTGTTTAGATATTTTTTTGCTAAAAATCCTTATCATGAATCACTATTGTTGTGTTCCAAAGTGTTTTTCGTGAGCAAAGAAAAACACGGAAATTAGCTTTCATACTTTTCTTCCTGTCGGAAAATCTAGGGTGACTGATTTTAAGGATAGAAAAATAGGTTTCCCCTCAAAAAAGAGTCTGTTCTCTACATTTTACTTTTTGTGACTATTTTCATGAAGGTATGTGTATTAAATGATTTTGTAAGTTAGCTTCTGATAAACATGTTTTTTTTCAGATCGCATAAAAAGGTGTATTTTAAGATTAAATGCAGTTCACACCCAGACTCCTCCATTGGAGACTGAACCTGTATCAGAGAGCAAAAAAACAGCAGCAAGTAGACATTTCAAAAACTTCATGCTCAGCCTCAAACCCATGTGAGTCTAAAAATGTTGCATCTGATGTATCAGAAAATTTAGCTGCTGAGGCCTTGGTTTTAATGAATCAAGGACATACTAGACTGTATACACAGAACATAAATACACGTTTTGTTTGCATGTTGCCCAGTTTCCGGCCAATAACAACAGACCTGCATTTAAAACCTAAATAGGTAATATACTTACTCAAAAATCGCAAGCCACAGAAAACACGTATGAAAATAAACAGTATATTTTGTGAGGTTAGGATTTTATGGCCTATGAAGTAGTTTCAAGTTTCAATGCCCGGCGTAGTGGCGCAACGCAGCAGTTTAAACTTTATTCGCTTATCATCGGAATAAGGAACGATTGTATTCGGTCCACTGGTATTATTTTTGGAAAGCGTTCGATTTTCTGATAATATATTAATGTAATAAATTTGACCATCGATAGTGTACTTAACAGTATACTTACTTTGTCACTTCTTTCCACTAAAGGTATAGGCCACCTGTCAACGTAGTGTAAGTAAATCAAATCTTTCATCAAGGCAGAGGTGCAGTTCCCATCTTCAATTTCAAAAGCCCGTTTGCCGCCGCCAGAAGAACCAAAAACCGTAGCAAATGATGTAATAGCAATAAGTGAAAAAAGTGCTCGTCTCATTTTAGCGCTTTTTTAGAAATAATGATGTAATAGTTCAATCCAACATTATTTATTAGATGTACAAAGAGAGTTATAGCGTTCAAGAGCTTTTCAAAAATAATGAACAGATAAGATATGCATGAAAAGGAAAAAATATACGAGGTAATCTTGCTATTGATATCACAGGTATGACTTGCGGAACCTTCATTGTTTCATTAGAATATCATCAACTCGACTCTGGTCTTGGCACCTTTGATATTTTGTCTTTCTATACCGGGTGTTTCACATTCGACTCTCACCATTGGGATTTCGGAGTCGATAAGAGATAAGGAGTCGTGAAAAAAAAACCTAATTTTCCCAAAATCGTTTTAAATTTTTACTGACATTTATGTAGTGGGATTTCAAAATTGCACACTAGCAATGACAGTTTTTCTCCTCTACAAGTTGGCATAATTAGAATTTCAATATGACGTTTTGTCTCTTGTCCTCCAGCATCAACTTTATTTTTTCTGGACGACGCCGAGGTAGATTTTTGTACAGATTAATAGAGAGCTTTTGATTCTGATTCAAAAATATGCAATATCTCATACATTGACATCACCAAAACTTAGTTATTAAAAAAATAGAATTTCCTAGGTAGGCCTTGAAATTATCAGATAGTCATTTTTTTCATGTACCAGATTTATCGCCAATTCATTTTTATTTTTTCCTGTGAGAGGGATTTCAAAATAAATTGCATGTTTTTACTGCCACTTTTTATTCTTTACAAGATGACGTCCTCAAATTTTTAATTCGAGGTATCTTCTTTCGACTTCCATCACAAACTTTTTTTTTCATATGGACGCTATATCGGAATTTTGTTTTCAGTCCTAAATTCAGTGATACATTTCCTTAGTTAGCAGTGAATTTGTTGTTAGAATGAAAATTAGGAACATGATAACAGAGTTTGGAAGACTGAGATGAAGGGAAATAAACCGAGCACAAATGTACAAAAAGGAGTTACACCTTGCCTAAAAAATTACGAGCAACGTTACGATTACCCAAACAGTACAATATTTTTCAGAAGTGTATCAGAAATCTTACATTGTAATGTTTTAAAAGCCTTACAAAATATTGCGGCAATATTTCTGAAAGGTGCAGTATCGAAGTTAATATGGTTGTTACGGTGTTTAACTGAAATGCTTAGTCAAACGTTGTAATAATGAAACTGTTACGGTGTTTGCCGGCAATACGGGGACTGACTAGGCATTTTCGGGAATGATGGATTTCAGCGTTTGACGCCGGCATATACACCGTGTAACGTTAGTAGTGGATCAACGGAATTCAGGTAATAGAGGGCCTCAAAACCTATCTAATGAACCCTTATATGTGTGGTCCGAAATTTTATAGTTCAGGAGAGATTTTCAATTTTGTGAAGAACTGCTTAAAAGCAACTGTGCACAACGGGCTGAATTTTGTGAGAATATGTTGAGAAGGTACGAAGAGGATAAAACTTTTTTCGACAGCATCTTATGGTCAGATGAATCCAACTTTAACCGAAATGGAATATTCAACATGCACAATTCCCATTCATTGAGTGTGGAAAATCCACACGCTATTCACCGACAGAGGTTTCAACGTCAGTTCGGCGCTAATTCATGGACTGGAGTACTCAACAAAAAATTAATTGGCTACCATATTAATTGCCCGCCAGGTTGAATGGTCAGACAAATCTTGCTTTTCTGTAAAGCAGTTTGCATGAGCTTCTATAGCATTGATTCCCAAAGTGGTCTATATCGACCCCTAGGGGTCTATGACAACCTGCAAGGGGTCTACGTCAGCGAAAAAAAATTTGGAGGTCCATGAAATGAATATGGGGGTCCACGATAGCGGATTTCAACACATACACTGATAGTACCTATTTACTTACATCATACTATCTTACAATATCAAAACATATACATTATTTATAAAAGTACCTATGAAGTGAAAAATTTATTATACGTATATATGTTTATAAAATTGTGTAAGTTGTAGGATGTTGGTATTCGCTTTGTGGTCGCTATACATTTTGAACTTGTAAAAACCTGAGAGTCGCAGTCTCAGAGCTTCGCTACCTTGCACTGACTTGTTCAATTCGTCACTCTATAAATACGAATGTGGGACAAATACGTTTATTTGTTTCCTGAATCATGAAAAGGAAAGTGCTAAGAAAATATTTTAAAAAATATAAACACATAGTATATCACACAAATTATAGTGAGTCAGTGTTATTTTGTTTGAGAGTGCTGGAGAAAAGTAAGTACATTATTTTTTATTAAATTTTAGTTTTGTACTCGTAGTTAGCAAAGACAGATAAATTACGCCAATCATGACTTTAGTTATTAGTAGTTAAATATTCAATCATGCAAAATTACACGAGTACTCCTCAATAGTTTATTTTTGAAAGTTTTAGCAATCGGTAATATAATTACAGTGCAATCTCCGTAATTCGAGCTAATTGTTGCAAGAAGATGTTCGAATTATGGAATGTTTTAATTTAAATTCAATTAATAAATATATAAATTAACATGTGTTTTTACTTTAAGTTTTTAACACTAAACTTCACTAGAGTTAGAAATTTACAGGAAATCAATATCAGGTAAGTAGGGGGTCTACCCAACACGGAAAAACATGGCAAGAGGTCTACGACACAAAAAAGTTTGGGGAACTCTGTTCTAGAGGATGTACCTTTTTGCATTCGAAGCCGCATGTATTTTCAATGCGATGGTGCCCCATGCCACTTTGCACAGGATGTCCGGCATTACTTAGACAGTGCCTTTCCTGGGCGTTCGATAGGAAGAGGTGGACACATCCGATGGCCTCCAAGGTCACCCGATTTAAATCCTCTAGATTTTTTTATATGGGAGTTTTATAGGGGGATAATCTATACAGCTGAATATACAACTGCGCCTGAAAATTGATGAAGCAAAAATAAAAATTATGGAAAACGCAAATTTATTTCAACGACTAAGGGACAATTTTATTAGAAGGTGTCGCTTGTGTATACAAAATAATGGAGGCCATTTCGAACATATTCTTGAAACGTTAGTTAAATTAAATTACCTTCCACATTTATCGGTAAATCGCCATAACGAGCGGCTAACACAATAGGTTCTGTACTTGTAGTTGGTAAGGATTCTTTGCGTTTCTTACGTTTATCGCATGACAACAACGAATGTGACATGATACACTCATCGTAGCAAGCTGAAATTTTCAGGGTTTATTCTGCATAGATTGAAATAGTTTTTACAATAACATGAATAATGAAATACAACCTCAATTTTTTTTACCGCCCTCCAAAGTTGAGGGATGGAAGAGATTTTTCACAATAAAATGAATTTAAGATTTTTTGCGTTGATTTAAAATAAGCTCTGTTGAAAGGTGACATAACCATTGCTAAAACTAACCATTTAGCTCATCTCAGAAGAAAAATCACAGCCTTAAATGGTTTAGTTGTAATTGCGATTGAAAGTTCATTATCCCGTTTTTTTCGAAAGCTCACAGAATTGCAAATATCTCCTGAACTATAAAATTTTGGACCACACATATGTATAGGGGTTCATTCGGCCCTCTATCACCTGACTTCCGTTGATCCACTACTAACGTTACACCCTGTATATTCAGCCGTAGTCATTGTCGTCAAAATAACCAGTCAGGTGATAAAAGCTTCAGCCTTTATACCACGACGACCATCTGGCGACGTCGCCAGGTGCGCCCACAGGAGTATACCACTGGGGCCTCGGTATTTTATGTAAAATGCAGAGACGCGTGTGTTCAAAATATTTCTCATTCTCATCCTAAAGGCAAATGTACGCGGAAATCTATTATGGTGAAGTATGTCTCAGGAAATTGAGATATACCGTCCTTCACTCCACACACTACCCTTAACCACCAACTTAAACACTTTATATTTTTTTTAAATGATCAGGAGCCTCCGAAACGTTAAAAAATGAAGTGATTTGAAGTTTTTACCCCTAACTCACTCCGTCGCCACTGGACCGATTCTAAAATACTAAAAATGCTTTTTCGCTCCTGGCAAAAGAGGAACCATAAACATTTTATAAATTTTGAAATAAATGATACACTTTCATTTTTTAACATATATAAAAATTTATTATTTTAATACATTAGTGGAATGTTGCCATTTAAGTACATAACATTACATCAGTTAGGTGGCTTCCGGATTGCAAAATCGTCAATACTCATTTCGAGCATGGCACGAGGAATCCTTTCAATTTCGCGCGTTCTGGTTTACGAAATAGCCTCTAAGACTTCGCGGTTTGTCTATGTAAACTTTGGTTTATAAGTAGCCCGATGAAAAGTAGCACAACATGAAAAGTCTGGTGACCGAGGTGGCCATTCCACATTTCCACGCAACGAAATAACTGACACTGACACTGTTCGTCCGTTTTCGGGCCAATTATGCAAGTTCGAGATACGGCACACCAAACAGTTACCCTCTCAGAGTGAAGATGTTGTTCATGCAGTTCTCGTGGATTTTCTGGTGCCCAGTATCGCAAGTTTTGCTTGTTTACTTATTCTGGTAACAACATTTTTTTCATAGTTGTAACTCAATTTTACAATTTAAACATATTTTTTATAAATGTAAGTGAATTTTAGAATCTCCAAATATTTGATCTGGCTATAACAATTAAAAACATAATTTTTATTTGTAACTGGAACTGAACTGAAGGGAGGTAAAAAGTATGACTTGTTCAAAAAGAAACAGAAAATAGGTAATAGTAAGAAAGGTGCGGCAGCTTTTTTAGTATTATACGCTAATACAATGACAGCTTCGTCAAATGAAAAGGGTGAAAATTCCTGACGTTGATAGAGTTAGAGGAGACTTCTCAAATGTTTTAACGGTGGTACTTAAATGTACTGAGGATGGTCTATATAAGCTGGGCAACCAGTTTACCACAGTGCTCGACTTCTTTTCTAGGAAGCATGCGCAAATCAAAATTTTTAGAAATGTTTCGCCCGAAAACAAATCAGTGCGCCAAATAGTCATTGCCCAATCTTTATCTGGTGGACAAGGCTCTAATAGATGCCACTGTAAAACCAAGTGTGGCAGTAGAAAGTGTCCTTGCAAAGCTGCTGGTATTTTGTGTGA